GACTAGAACATCAGAGCCGCCACTGCTGTCTTTTCCATCTTTATATAAACCGACCGAAAAGTCGTTATATGTTTTTGCTTCTTTTCTTTTGTCGTTTTTGCACAGAAGCGATTATTTTGTGATTTTTTTTTTTATTTAATAGTATAATAAAACAAAATATTTAAGGCACGACCTTCTTTGAGAAATATTTGAAATAATCGCCTCCCTCGAATAATCGCCTTTCCTCGAATAATTGCCCCCTTTTGGGGGCAAAAGAAATAATCGCCCCCGGCTATTATTCGAGGAAATACGGTAATAAAGATCATCCACTTTACCATTCGCCGTCGCAACCAGATCTTATGTAACCACAGAAGGTTGTTTTGTATAATAATTTACCTTCCAATGATAATCATGTTTCATGTGAGCTTTCGCAACCTTTTATGAATGGTTTAAAAGAGATGCAAATTCACAATTGATCATAGATGGTATCAAGTGTTTACGTACATTATGGTCTCGATGACATCGAATCGGTGACGTTAAATAAGGGAAGTTTCAAGTAAATGATAAATTTGATTCAACTAACAAGAAAGGCAACCAATCATATACTATTAGATAGGAGAGAATGTAAAACTAATTTCAGTCATTAATTTTTCATATTAGTCCGTATCCTAAGCCCTCTCGATGAAGTGGTAGGCGTTTGAAAGTAACATTCACAAACAAGGAAGCTTGTGAAATAAGCTTCCTTATGCGATAATAGGCAGGTCGGAATATTTCATGACACCATAGTTAGGCCTTTTCACATAAAATCAAGCGGTGTTTTTGCGAGATTTGATATATTTTGACAAGCTCACAGGACGACTCAAAAGACAAACAAAGTGTTTATACTCTACTCGCGCATTCTTTGTTCTTTGTTCAGTACAGCGGGATAATAACATTCTTACTATGTAATTTGCGGTAAATTTTCTCCCAACGAAATAGAAGAAATCTTGAGGAGCATATTATCATGCATTGATGGTAACATTAATTTTTTAACATTTTCATAAACTTGGTGATAGGGGAAGCAATTACCTGAACGAGCAGTTAGATAGACAGTGTACATCCGGCAAGCATGACTGATTCAAAATTGCCAAATTGTTTCCACCATTTTCTTCTTCTTGATTCAACTTTATTGAGCGTGATAATTGAAAATACATTTATAGTCTTTCAAGATGAGATTTCAAAGCGTCACCCTTTCTCCTTAGTTTTTAGCACACCTAAATTTAATACTCTACACGTCTTCGTAGATATAGAAACTAAAGCAAACAAAGAGTGAAGATTATTATCAACATAGAGAAACTTCTCGGTAGACTAAATAAAAGAAATTACCAGCTCCGTACTAAGAAGAAATCATTCATCTAAGTTATGGTGGAAATTAAACATCTTGTTTTATAACATGCCGAAATAAATTGAAAATATAACTGTTCGCAAGCAATTAAATCTCCGGTCAATACTGGGTTGCCACAGTACCAGTACAGGCTTAAAATGTGTGTAGGCAGCATTTTCCTTCAGCTTCAGATTTATTAGCTCCTCTTCGTCTGCATGTATACAGGTAAACAATTCTCTCGCAGCATTCATTACTCTATATAAAGTAATAATTTTCCGTGGAGGCCAATTCGAATCCAGGTCTTCTAATCTGGGAAATGGCTCCATATAATTTTCTCGACTTTTCTCTTTTGTAAATACTACTTATGAACAACCATTTCGATGAAGCTTTCTTGGCATTAAGATGATGAATGTTGGGTGAAGAGGCCGAGAAATAGTACCCTCTCCTTGTCTCACTTTGTGGTTGGAAACGAGATTGAAGTTGATGGCTGTTGCTTTTTCTTCCTGTTCTACAAACGATGGCACCAGAGTTGATTTGAAAAATCTCAGCGGTTAACATTCTACCTTAATTGAAGGACTTAAACATATCGATTTGAGGGGAAATCCAGGAAGAATTATTTTAGGAGTATTCTAAACTCACTAAGTGACACTTCCTCGTCGAAAATAAAAACTAGTTTTTAATTTAGCACAATATCTTAGATCATATTGAATAGTGGTCTTGCAAAATATAAAAATAACTGATTCTTTAGAATTAAATTCAGAGCTCTTTTCCTGAACAATGTCATGGTGCAGCTGATAAATAAACAATAAACTTTGTGGCATCGTAATTCTTAAAGAGCTAGATTTAATTGTTTGAAACTGACTCAGCAATGACGTACATTATATTAGTGATAATAGACGTACAAAACACGAAGCGTAAACAGACGCTTTAAAACTGTTGAATTTCGGGAAACTCGAATAAGGAATGTCCAGATTCCGTTGCCATCTTAGTCTCAACTGTAATTTACTCCAGTTTACTTCAATTATACATCCCAATGTACCCTCTATTATTTCAAAGTCTTACCAATTATAAATATGGCGACGAAAGTGACGTGTGTCCATCATCAGTGGTTCAATTTTCTTTTAAGCTGAACTTGCAACTTCACATTGCACCTGTCCGAGAACGATACGCTGCCATTTTTTTAAAGGAACTTACATAGAAATTAGAGCATAAGATGAGCGGTTGCGTAATGGCGCATACGCTCTCCACTCCCCCCCTTGCCACCTGCTTCTTAACATTCCTTTTTTTTCTCTCCGACTTTCCCTAAACTTGTGCTATAAACAACTCGGAAAGTAGGCTACTGTTATGTTCATTCATAACTATTCGCAAACAATAAAATCTCAGGCTGGGTTCCATCAGTGCAAGCACAGGCTTAGAAGATAAATGCTGCGTGCACTTTTCTTCATGATATTTTTTTTACTCTACTTTGTCTGCATGCATACAGGTAAACAATTCTCTTCATGAAAGCTTCATTATTCTAAATGGTGGTGAGTATGTATAGTACCTTTTTAGAGACTCCACGTAATCATATGCTTTTCAAATGCTAAAAATTTCCTTAGCACTTTATCAACAATACAGTCACACTAGGGCTTATTTAAAAGTACCCAATTTTTTAAAAAATTTGCATTCTACAGACACCTTCTGATTGTCTATACCGAGTTTATCATAGAGTTCGGCAGGTGTTCTCACAAGTTGTGAAAGTGCAATGGTCTCATCACAAGGAGCAATAATTTTTTTTTTTTTTGACAAATTGAGACAAATCTTACAGTCAACCAAATTAACGGTTTTTCATTTAAAAGTGCGACAGGTTTATTACAAATCGAGGCAAGTGTTATTATTAAGTTAGACAGGTATTACAAAGTGAGACGATCATTACAGAGCGCCGCTATCCGATCACGCAGAGATTCACTTTGAATGTATGAACCATTCCAGATAACTCTTGAAACTTATGTATTAACCAGATGGCCATACATTTTAAGTATTAATTTTCGTTCCACAAGGGTTTGTGACAGGCACCTAATAACTAGTGCTCATTTTGTAATCTAATCCCTAACAAGCAGCTTGGATTGTAATGCACGAGAGATATTATTTAGAATACACTTTGTGCTTCTGATATGAAGCTGTGAGCTGACAACTGAAAATAGCGCATTTACAAAGACAGTATTTTAAAATTTTATTGCTCTAATAACATTCACATCAGTGGATAAATGTAAAAAGTGCGGTTTTTTATCTTTTTTTTTTTTTTTTTTTAAATGGAGAAAATGTGGCGTGTAGTCGATGTAGAGGAAGTTTGAAGTTTCCTGTAACGTAACGTAAACATCCGTAGTCTTTTGTAAATGTCCTTAGTATCTGGTCTGTTATAGGCAGCGGATTAAATGTAACTATATTCCCTTCTCTGTTCCTCGATCGAGGGCTTTAGGATGATCCTATTAAAAAGCGCAAAACGCACAAATCGGAGCTTCCAGCCGTCTGATTTCAGGCGTTCATTTTCACCACCCTTTCTTGCATTTGCATTCACCATGAAAACAGGGCTCTTTGCCTTCTTGATATAAGGATTAAACTTGAAGAGCAAGTTAACCCCGAGCTCATTTTTCTCCCGGCCTGTGCCTTATTTCTTTAACAATCATTTGCCATATTCCGCGATAATTGTTTCTGGACAAGTTCCAAAATTGAAAGGTTTGGTTGAATGTGCTTACATAACAATCGATATTGTCCATTATTTATTTGAATATTATATACTTTGTTCGCCTGGAGTTTTTTGCCCATATTGGACCAGAAACATTAAGGAATAGGAAATAGAGAATGTGCAATTGTTTTATAGAGAATTTGCCGTAACTGTAGATGATGTTATTGGCAATACTTTTCATGACTTCTATCTTTTCTGACTTGAATATAAATTATCGTACAAACAAAGAATGAAATCCTGTAAACCAAACTTAAACTTACAATCATAAAAAGCCTATCTGTACCATCAACTCGCGATTTGAATAATTTATCCGAGAACATGATTAATGGAGACGTTCGTTCTCGACTATTACGCGCAATTTTAGCATATCAATAGTACAGACCCGGCGAAATTTTTACTTTTTCTTGTCAGTAATTGTGAAAACTGAGCTGAATCTTAATTAACATCATTCAAAGCAATCGTGCTGGTACTACTCGACAGGCCTGTTGAAGATTTTTTTTTAATCGAAAAGGCTAATTATGATAACCAGGTGTTTCTCATATTATTCTACCCCTCTCTAGAACTTGCAAAGTAGGTCATGTATAAAAAGAAACAGAGGAAAGGAAAAGAAAGTTTACAAAGAAAATTTTTATTGAGACAAAATTAGTAAAAATGATTTTCATTTGGTATCGTATTTAAACAGCCACCAACCAGGTGTAGTTATGGTCAACGTCTTTGTTTACCATTCACGCTGACATTTTGGAAAAGAGCGGGGTAGCTGATATCCTGTGAAACACTTCTACTAAGCTATGTATTAAGATTTCGTTAAAATAACTTTAGAAGTAAACCAAAGACGTTTATGCCGAAAGGAATTGATTGGTCGCTTATTGTGAACATCGGCATGTAGTCGCTGATGAAAGATGGAATCCTCATTAATAATTTACAAAGTTGAGATCAAGCTCTATAATTTTTAGCAAAACCAGTCCTAGTTGATATCGGAATACTTAAGTTGATTGGCGTGGAAGGCGAGTCTCTTGCGGCTATCTTCTCAAAATTTCCAACTCCCAGAACTAAAAATTATTTTTGATATCACTATTACTAACTACCAAGGTAAGGAATTTAGCAGAAAATGCTAAAATAACCTGCATTTTCTCGCACTAATAAGATTCCACATTAGTTGGTTGATTTTCTTGTATGGCAGGATATTTCAAAAGGTATCCTAAAAATCCCAAAAATACATTTTATTTTTTCGTCTCACATTTTGAACGGTAGGTTTTTAAATATATTTAAGGTGTTATTGGATTCTTAGATGGGGAATTGAATTGCAGATTGGGAGTTGGAGACTTCCATATGTTACGACGATTGAATCGGAGTACAGCCAGCGCAACAAATTTGTCGCCTCGTTTCATTGTTTGAGTATATGTCTGTCATATGTCAGTTTAAATATGAAAGTCATCTCTTGATTTGAAGGTTTTATGGTACGATTTAAGTACTTCGAAAGATCCTGCTTTGCTGCACAAAATGATGCCTTTTTTTAACGCAAGCTGTGTTCATGCCCAAGTTAGAAAATAACGTCACAATATTTAAATTATTTACAGCGATATCTAGTTCATAATGAAGTTCCTTGCGTTCCTCACGCTAACAACACTGGTTTTGTCGATTGTGGCTGTGCCCTTCCCAAGAGAAGACTTTGCCAGCGAGATTAGGAAATCCGGTTATTACGACGAAGGTAAGAAAATATTTACCACTCACTAGCTTATTGAGAGGGTGTTGTAATTAATGCAGCCATGTACGAGAGTTAAACGAATCTTGGGGCAATTTACAAAAATAAAGTTTGCTTTGCGCTATGTCTTTTGGCACAAAATAACACATTTTCAACATCATTTTCCAAACAATGATACATAAAATTATTGAATTCAGCGATGAAGAATAGGAAATTATTTGACCTAATAGTTATTTTTGCAGCGTTCATTAGTTTTTTCTTGTCTGTTAAAAATTTTTACATATTTTCCGTACGTTATGTTAATTGCAGAAGTTGAGAAAAAAATGCATATATTTAACGATAAGTTTATAGCATCCTTGATCAGGCTGAATGCCACCCATGAACTTCCCGCACAGGAAGACTGCCATAAGTTTCTTATGACTTTGAATATACTCAAATCTATTTCCAAAATACTTGACAACAGAAAGTGTATAGATCCCATTTTACAAATAATGCCATAGACTATTTGTGAATAAGATATTAGAAAGTAAGAAATGAAATTTTTCTCCCTGCGTTGACTCAAAATTAGCATAAGGCTCAAAGATATGAAGTTAACTTGATGCTATTAACTAAGGCATCTGACTAATGGGTTCTGTTTGTAATTAATTATAGATATAGTTACCTCTTAAGCGGGAAAGCAATTTTTTCCTACTCTGAACAATGATCGTAGGCACCATTTTATACCGCCATTTAGAAAGCATGAGTTGAGATCGACAATCGCTGTCACTTATAAACAGAAATGTGGCTTTGTTGACCAGCGCTTTCCATTCTCTTCCCTGCCATTATTATCATTCCCCTCGCGGGTGGGCACGAATGTTCCAGTATCAGAAACATTACTCTACCAAAGCACAGCTTGAAACGAACAGATCTGCAAATAAAACTCTCGAATCCTAAGAAATGCCGAGACTTTGTGCTTGAACATGAAGAATTTCTTCTAATAACACTCGATTTCTATTGATTAACAACCCTTCTCTTGTGGAATATTCGTTTTGTCGTTTTAATTATTCATATTTCAAAATTCTTTTTTGTGGAAATACGCCGGATGGGGAAATTCAAAATGCCAAAATTTTCATAGAAATTTATGGAGACTGTTTTCTTCCTTACCTCTATCTCATAAAATCTCTTTCTTTGAACACTAATGAGTTCATAGAAAAATTTCACTTTGCTTACGAACTTGACTAAAGCAAAAGACCTCAAAATCAATATGCATATGGCGAGTTGTCTTCTTTGGATTAAGATTCTCACTTAGGGCACTTGTGCTTGTATACATAGATAGCGAGTTACGCCTCAGTCATTGCTTTCATTTGATAGGGTAAACAAAATAAAACAAGACAAAGTACATAGAGGTAATAGCTGTTTAATTGTGATACAAAAAGAGCTTTAAAAAGTCGGGAACATAAACTAGCGAGTGCATTTGTGCAATTTACCCAAAAACCAATCTACCCAATTTAGAACCTTGCCGTTTTTAAAACACTTCTAGTTATTTTTCCATCTTTTTAAAAGAAACAATGACTGGTTGGGATTTAAAACACTCACCGCGGCGACGCTTAATAAAAAGGTCAAATACAAAATAAAGTTCCATTTATCTGAAGAGTTCTCAAATTTCGAAAGTTCGAAGTTGTCAATACCACCAGGGGGCCCAATATGTCTTCTGCATCGTAATAACAGCGTTAATCGTGAATAGAGTTTGCCCTCGGGGCTCGAGTCCCCCTCTCAGAATAAATAAACTTTGATTATTTCGCAACATTACTTTGAATTGAATGGCTAGGAAATTTAAAAAGCTAAGAGCGTTATTTCCAATCTTTTGTTTCACCACATTTTCGTTGTCGACGTTGTTGTGCTTTCTTTACGCCCCCTCTTCTTTTCCTTTGATTTTCTTCCACTTCGGATTATGAAATCTCTTTGATAAATTAAATGGAGCAAGTAATTTTGTGGGCGGAATCCAAATGAGCCATACCTGGATCCCTTAAAATAACTCCGTAAATATATTCAAATGCGGCGTTTTTTAATTTGAAAATTCAAAGAACGTCCAATTCCACAAAAAAACATCGATAAAATGATGTTGCAATGTCTCGGTAAAATTGATATACTTCTCCTCGTAAAAGGAACATCGAGACAAAATTTAGTTCCCTCCAGATTTTGATATCAGACGAATCGATCTTGCTTTGACATCCCTTTTGAAATGGTTTATTTTAGCTGCTCCTCGTGAAGAGAAAAGAGCTCCTCCTTGTATCAATGCTGGTGGCCAATTTTATTGCCATCTAGAAGTATATTACGAGAGATCCTGCGTATATCAACAAGGAATCATGGTACAGAAATGCAGAAAAATGTGTGGATTTTGTTAGGTATGAAACTGTTAACTGTTTCTAATGATTCGATAGGCGTCCTGCTTTTCTATGTCTGACTATACGTAACTATGATTGTATATGAATGTTCAAGCAGGCATGAATTTTGGGCCATTTAGTCAGTGTCCTCTTTCGTCCAGATACGTTTGTCATTTAACTAGTCTTTAGAGAGCCTCCTTCACTAGGCGAGGTCGAAACTTGTGAATGTAAACCAGGGTTGCGCCTCAACATGCTCATAGAAATTCGTACAACCAAGGAAAGCGACCAATGTTACTTTCGCATTTTTTTTTTTCGCTGTTCAGTTCGACGAAAGATAACGCGCTGCTCCTCTAGCGGTAAATGAAATCTTAACTCATTCTTTGTTTACTTTCTACATTTTCACTTTGCAGGCCGGACGCTGTGTAAAGAGTTGTCTATTTCCTGTATATTGAAAGCTTTGTAGCTGTGGAACCATGAGAAAGTGGAAGTCAGAACGTGTTTCAAAACTCGTTTAAATAATCAAGCTAAATCGTACGAAATTCAAGTCCTCTTCTTTTTGTTCATTAACTGATGATGAACGCTGACAAAATGTGAGTTTCAAATTCCGTTCAATAAAATAGCAAAACAGCGAAAAGACTTTTTCTTTCCCTGGAGAAACGCTATGATCTGCTCAATAACTCAGCAGCAACAAAACCGAATCGTGCGAAGTGACTATTGGCTAACCCTTAACCCATTTTCCTTTGTGTTTGAAAAATGTATTATCGCACTGAAAACCATGCAAGATTCGTAGCTACGTCACGACAACTTGAAAATGTTAGCGTAATTCTTTTCATATATTTACATAGAACTTTAACCTAAGTAAATCATAATTCCTTAACAGGGCGTTAATCTTGCAAGATTAGAACGCAATCTCAAACCAACTACGCCATGTACATGATTCTACCGTGACGCGAGACAAATTTACTCTTTGTAGATACAAAGAAAACTGTTGAGGCTGTAAGCATGTATACACATAATCCTTTAAGATACTTCCATCATCTTTCGATGTGCAAAAGCTCTTTACATTTTCTTTACATTCGGCACTTTTTGAAGCAACCTTTGTCCATCTTTTCCTTCGATTTTCGCCGCATGAGTTTGTCTTCATTTTTGATCGTAAGACAAACTTTAATGTACTCCAAACTAAGAAGTGATTATCCTGACGATTACTCTATGAGGAAAGCAGGGAAATTAATGAAGGTTACAGATAAACTTCGTACCTAGATTCTTAACTTTAAGAACCAAAGTTACATATAACTGAATAACTTTACTTTAGATTGGTTTCATAGCATTTCGTTGTAGCTTTTGTTTTCAGCTTAGAGGCAAATTTCGGCAAGCTGTTCCAGTTACGTTAAGTCCTAACGCCTCTCCACCCAACCGAAACGTTTACAATAAACCCTTTTTCCTAATTCCCATCCTCTTTTTATTACCTGATGGATAAGAAGGTTAAGGAAAATCTGAAAGACAAGGCTAGAAATAATTATCAAGGTACATCATCCGCTAATAAGTAGAAGCAGTTCTCAATAATGGTCCTTGAAGAACTATGTCGCTAGTTACACAAATCATCAAATAATTTACGTCAATTAACGATAACTTTCGATCAAGCACTCATAGACACTTGAAAATATTAAAGTGTGGCTATATTATTGGAACCTTTAAACGCTTCGCTTGGTGCTCCTATCTGTGCTCGATATACATTCTTAAACTGAAAAAACAACTCAATTCATTTTTGGGGCTTGGATGATAAAAATTAAAGTTTTAACTTGGCAGGTCCAGGCAATAATGCAGCTTTGTTTAAGATACAGTACAAATACATTAACTTTCCAACCATTCAACCGGGTTAGTTTTCAGCTCTAATACAGCTATAAATGCATTTTGCCTAATTGGAAAGAAGGCCACAGGAAAAGTGAAGAATAATCGAAGGGTGCATTTACAAAGTCTCGAATGAAAGTTTATGAAGGAGTCATACTAAGTAAGCTTCTGGCGACTATGATACATTTTGAAAGGTTGGCCTTTTTTTTTCCTAGAATAAATAACATATTATACATACATACATACATACAAAGTTTAAAAAATTGCGAGGATGGACAACTTCTCACGTAGAAAATATAAAAAATTTTATTAAAAAACGTTTCGGTCAGAGATCTTCTTCAGTTATTTACGGTAAATAACTGAAGAAGGTCTATGACCGAAACGTTTTTTAATTAAAATTTTCTATATTTTTTACGTCAGAAGTTGTCCATCCTCGCAATGTTTTAAACTTTCTACGTTCGTGCTGGCTGTGAGGTTTGGACTGCGAATCTTTATTGATCCTCCTGGCGCGGTGTACCTTTGTTGGCCTGAGAGTTTCATTAACGACTTACGTACATACGTACATACATACATACATACATACATACATACATACATACATACATAAATACATACATATATACATACATACATACATACGTTAGTTGACCACTCCCCATGGGGGCTTTTCAAGGCCAATTTCTACATATCCCAGCCCAGGGAAGGACATCCACGACACAGTAATCTCGTGCGTGGGAAATTAACGTTCCTACCCCTAACCCTGCAGGAGACGGGGCCTACGGTTTATTCGTCCTTATCCGAGAAGACTAGAATATCTATCCATTTCTTGATTTTAGAAAGGTAGCAATTTCTCCTCACTTATTTTAAGACCAAGAGTATTGGTCCGACCGGGGCTCGAACCCTCGACCTCCCGCACAACACAATCCGGCGCTCTAACCAATTGAGCTCAGTAACCGGGAGGTTATTATATCCGCAGGTAAAAAAAAACCGTTTTGCGGAAAGATATCGAGCGACCGCCGGTTTTTTAATAAAAGTGTACTTTTCGTAAGCTCAATGTATAATGATTTGTCTACAATTTTATTTAACTTCCCTTTTTCCAGTTACAACAAAGCTTTAGAACAGTTAACGGTTTCCTGCTAAAAACATTCTTATTTGGGAAAACTAATTATGACCCAGTTTTCAGCACAGTCCACAAGAATAACTACACAGGTTACCACCAGGCTGATCACAATTATCTTCAACCACAGCTAGATAAAAACAATGATATGGATCTCTCACGTCTTCACATGCCAACAATCGCTTTTGTTCAGTGTTATCTGTAGAGCAGAGAAACGAAAGAATTGTCCATCTACTTTTAAGTATGTCACAGAACGTGACAAACTATGCCAGAAGAGTATAAACTTGAGACTTTACAACGAAAAGTCAAAGAAACTTCAATTGCGGCGCTCTGTGTTTCAAATCTCTAAGGAAGTAGCTTAATAAAAAAAGAGAGACGATGTTATTTTATGGTAATGATAGGCGAAATCTTATTCTGTAAGGAACCGTTAGTTCAAAAGGAAAACCAATCCCACTATTAGATATTTCAAAAATACTAATAAAGTCCTCATTGTTTTTTCTTACCCATGGAAAGTTGTCGTAGAAAAGTGTTTGAAGAGAGTTCTTTTTGATGACCTTTCCGTATTGCCTTAGGATTCGTTCGAGAGATTAAACAGTACAGCACGAATACAATCAGGAGCGTGTTGAATGTCTTCATTGCAAATAAATCTGTAAAGAAAAAAATATAAGGCAAACTTTAAAAATCTTCTTTGAAATTTAACAAAGTTGTTGTTGCAACAGCAGCTGATTGCCTTAAATTTGCTCTCACTAACAACTTTGTGATAACTATCGTTCAACTTACAATGAAATGACAAGACCAGAAAATTGAAGTTTGACAGTTGATACCGAATCCCTCCTCAAAGGCGGGGAACTGCTGAATGCAAATATAGTGTGCTTACGCTCGGTAATGACATTAAAACGATTTCAAATAATCAATGATTCATTACAAAAAAACAAGTAAGATAAGGAGGCTTAACACTTTTCACATAGTCATATTCAATAAAGTTTTTCATACCTGACATTAAAATGTTTTCTTTTGGTTTCAGACCTTGCATGGCTGTATCTCTGATTTCCAGTAAGTTTCATGGCCACCTTAGCATAGTTGGTAGAAGTAAGTTACATCGGAAGACGCGTCGGTGAACTTCTTTTGTAGCTCCAAATAACTCCTCACAATAAATAAAAAAAAAGAAACACGAAATTCTCAATGGAACCTAATCCTACTATGTAGATATATCACCTTAACCATTAAACATGGCCTAGCCATATGGTTTTTTTGATTGTTTTGCTATCCTCAGTATCAATTATAAAACAACCCTTGAAGTTTATTGATGATGCCGCAAAATACAAGTGATAGAGTTATGGAAATGCAATTGCTCATGTTTTGAACACTGCTTTATTTTTAGACAGGCCGTAAACAAATCTTCCAAGGATTAAATCTACTGCGAAGTCCTGAAAAGATAAGGGCTTGCCTCTTAATATCTTTAAAAACAACTCCCCCTCCATCCAGCGATATGGTAGCAATTAGGTCTCCAAAAACAATGCAGGTAATTAGCCGAAAGATGTTAATGTCTCGTGTGGACATGGCTGCAGTGTTTTGCGATTCTATGCGGGAATCGTAGCATAATTACCGTTTGTATTAAAAGAGGAAACTGTTGGGCGCATTGCTTTCATGGTAAATTGATGAGAAGTTTCTTGTTACGACTGTAGCTACTTTATCGAAATTTCCTGAAAAGGTTTGATTGATATGTAATTTGTTTGTTCCGTAATTTATTTTAAAAGCTATTTTGCAATGAAGATGACCGCAGCCCAGTTTAATCCAACAAATAAATCATGTGATCAGCTACGATGAAATGATATTGCAAAGAAAGAAAACAATTTTGAATCTTAATAACTGCACATGTCTGAATATTTAATAACTACATTCACCGACCCTGACTCTAAAATGTTCAGAGCCTTTACTGCATGATATTGTGTTTTACTTTAGCTCACTTGTTTGTCTTTTTGTTTTGTATTGTTTGTTTTTTAAAAGGAAATATGGCTCCAGACTTTATTGGAGGTAAACTCAACCTCACCCTTACATTACTGAGTGGATCACCACTCCAGCGAGGTTGAAACATAAATCTTTCCTTTGAATGTCACGATTGATAACTGCAAGTGCAACCGCGATATTTGTAAAGAGTACGAATGGACTGATTCATAATGAATCCGTAAGAGCACAGTAATGGCTTGATCGTAAGACAATGAATCCGCTACAGCACACTAATGAACCGATCATAAGACAATTCATCTTCTACAACTGTGGTTCCAGCATGTAATTGATAAAGGGAACATATTATCGAAAGCGCAAACACAGCTGTTGGTAATCTAATCAATTAAAGCGGAGCATACTGTTTCAAAAGATGACGCATGATCAGTCGACCTCATACGTAACGGTGCGTTGTTGAAACGCAGCAATCCACATCGCCAGTGACTACTTCGTGACGCAAATGATGATTATTTCATTGACATGTCTTGCGAATTATCGTAAAATCAAATCATTACAACAGATTATCGATTAGATTACTAAGGTAAAGAAACCCGTGACGCTTAAAGTGCACCTAAACCCAAATATTTTTCGCTTAACGAAATAAGCGTATTTTTGGGAGTATTTCCAGGCAAACATTTTTTTGTTTGCTCAAATCTTCAATTTTCTGTGCCCAGTCAAAATATGGAAAATCGGCCCCCATCTTGGCTCACGACCGAGTTTAAAGAGGAATGGTTCTAGCGGGTAATGTGACATCAAATCGAGAACACGAAAGTCTGCATTTCACACATTTTCACTTGTTTGGGAAGGTTGTNAGGCCACGCCAATAAAGTTACCTTCAGACTGTAGATATTTGGGGTTTCGACTTTCACCGTTACGCATCCTTCCAATTTTTTCCCAACGTTATAGAAACCTTTGATAGAGGTCAGTCGCACATTTATTTATTTTTGAACGATTTTTAGGTGACTTAAGTTCAAATATCCACAGACATCTCGACAAGCCGCTGGCAAAATAAAAATTGTCACTAAATTATGAAGAACGAAAAACAATTAATTATCTCTTCTTTCTCTGGTAAAAATATGTACAGATGTTAATATGTTTTGCAACTGCAAAATTCACGCACACGTACGGAAAGTCAAATCTCTTTAAGACGCATCATCTTTTGCAGCTCCTGGTATCTTTCGTCGGATTAGCAGTGGCTCCGGAGCAGGCTTTCATTCGATTAAATAAGCTTGTTAACGTGAATAACTTCCATGCATAGAAAATGTTAATGCTGCTATGTCAAACCACAGACAACTTCACCATAGTATCATGACCCTAACTTATGACACTGGAATTGCTTTTATCATTATATGTGAAAAAAATTCCATTAACTTAGGTCTACCCTTAGTTTGATCGCAACGACTGCCTGCCGTTACAAAAGAAGGTTAATGATTTAAGAGAATTGATGTCCAGCAGTGTTCAAAATTTTGAAAAAAGAATTTAAATTTTGTCCAAGTGACTGCGTTTTACTGGTAGCGCTTGCGCACGTAGAATTGGCATTCATGTACAGGTGTTCCTTTTAGATTCAAGGTTAGAACATGAAAATTTTAAAGATCCCCCTGTTTAACGCGGTAACATACAGGATATATGCCGATTTGCCCAAAAGCGCCATTCTTCATCCCATTTTCAATTTTTTGAGGAGTATTAGTATAGCTTTATTGAGACTTCGTTTAACGCCAATTGGTAGTTGAATGGACCGCTGCAAAGGTGTTCTCTTTAAGTAAATTAGTTTTGCATTACTCATTACGTGTTTAATTCAAATTCAGATTCTGAACTTTAAAAAGCATGACATTATAAAGGGTGAAGCTTCAACAAAAGAGTCCATTAAGGCCATAAATCGTTCTTCTAACATGACAATAGAACACGAAAATGAAGAGAAATAAATCAAGTATCGTAGAATTTGAGATGTTCGCCGAATATATTCAATAAGCTCCTCATAAACGCAAATTGCAAAAACAGACTATTGCTGAAGTGCCATGCGAATTCGTCTCAACAAATCTATCATAAATCATTCTCAAAGCCTCAGAGATAAGCTTATTCATTCATTTATAATTAAAAGCAATAAATCATATCGTCTTCCTATTCGAGGAAACATAATGATTTTTGATATCTCCAACAATCACGCGTTAATGAAAAGGGAGAGAAAAAAAGAAATTTAATGTTAGTTCAACTGAAAAATTATTGCGGTTTCATTTTAACGTGTTGAGGTCACTTCCAATCAGTACACTGAACTATTAATTCAAAAATGTATATTTAGGGTGAGTTGCAATTGTAATATTTCGCATAAGCAGTTGACTTTGAGCCAGAGGAAGGCAAGTTTGCACGCAGAGACAACTCTTAGGTACGTGAACAGTTCCATGAGAAGTAACAAATTCGTGTCCCCTTGATTGTTCCGTTCCACTCATGAAGTGGAGTAACTCGCACGATGTTTGTATTTCATAGCTTGCTGTCTTGGAGTCAGTTTCTTTTTTCGTTGAAAGGTGGAGTTTCATGCTTTGTATTTGGGTGATTTTTTTCTCCCTCCTACGGTTAACACAAATATAATGTATTTTGAAAAAACAGATGCCAACTTCCCATACAAGTGAATTTGTCACCAAAATATTATTTTACGTAGTACTTAATTGCGATGAAATTTGGTTTTTCCTTGCTACTATTTTCCCTCTACTTTAGAAAAGGTTTGGAATTTTGACAAAAGTGGCAGTTTTTGTATTCTTCTTACACGATATTTACAATTAAACTCTGATTGCTTACCCATGGATCCGTCAGTTCAACCATCCTTCATAGATATGCTTAAACGTGAATATTTACTCTTAAGCTGTAACAGTGTCTCTAACTTTGCCCCACATACTCTGATTTTGTTTTCACGTTAATGAAACTTTTAAAATGCTAACATCGCAAAGCCTAGTAATTCTTTTATGGCTTAAAAAATCAAGAAACCTAACCCTGTTTGGAAGAAGCTGTATTCATCCGACTAATCGCATTGGATTTGTTCCCTGTCACGTAAGTTTTCACCGACAAATATTGGCAACACCTACTTGAAACTGTCAACGCGAGGTAAAACATTTATTCAGACACGCCAAGAATCAATGAAAATTTTGAATTTTGCCAAATGTAAATTTTTTGCCAACAAAATCATTTTAAAAATGGTTTTCTTGATTTCAATAACGCGACTCCGACATGTCAACATAGCGTGAGCTTACAATCAGAATTTTCTTTTGGTCTAAACTGATATCTGCTTGTACCTTTCATAAAACATCTTAGGAAAAGGATCACTCTTACTCCAATAACTGCTCGATCAATCAAATTACTAATCGGATGTAAAAGCGATCTTTCAGCGATTGGCTGAGTGGTTTTACCAAGCTAGATTGCTTCTCCAAAGTAATAAGATGAGGTTATGAATGAGACGATAAAATGATTTGTTCGCAAAATACGACAACAGAGACAGCTAGAATGAAATAATAGCTGAGAAGTAACTATTAATTATCTAGTCGTAACTATATTTTTTTTCAACCTGATTGGCTAAGAATAATGTAGTTTTTAGGGTAATAGAGCAGAAGAGGGGTAATCCATTCCAAAAAAAAAAAGAGGGAATGAAACCTTTTAGTCGGAATTTTATCAAACTTACGGGTGTACTATCTTAAAAAGAATCAAGAGGAACAGGAAAAAAAAAAAATAGATCATGGCCGAAACGAGCAAGTACTTTTTGCAGGGATTCAAAATGTCATTTTTGTATGTGATTCGAGCGTCTGGGTTCTGCTTACAATTAATAATGAAAGGCTTTCTCGCGTTTTTTCTCAAAGTTTTTTATGCTTATTATGAATATAAAACCAGTTTATCTCCTTTTGTTTAATTTGGAATAGATGAGCACTCAATTTTTCATAAAGACTAAAATTACGCTCGCCTCAAGGGATCTACGATTTTGCTGATCTTTTTGAAAAAATTTACTTGTGGTTGTTTACTCCACACTGCACTTGAAATCCTCCGATTCCCCTAACAAAATACATTTTTTAATAGGAAAAAAGCTATTGACTAGAGTCTAACTGAATATTCTTGTTAGTACATAGGCTGCAATCATTATGTCTTGCAATAATTTTCCAAAGAACCATTGATTTAATTCTCTCTCTTCATTTCACAGAATTTCCTAAAATGACAGATTTCAAAAGGACCGTTACAGTCTTTTTCTTGCTGTATTTGGTTTCCAGTGGCTTGGGAATGTCTCTCGTAAGGCGGGACCTGAAGGAGAATTCTGGTGCGGCAAGATTTCTCAGTGCACTGGACAAACGTAAGACATTAATGCATCTATTTATCGTCAATTCCATTTGCTTTACTTTTATCTGTTACAAAAGGACCAAGATGATGAATAAAATGACCAACAATTGTCGAGTAGTCTATCATGATAATCACGAGTTGCGAGGAACTCGATAATTTAGATTCTATAGAGTTTTGTAATTTCCTGATTTTATAATCAAACATTTTAATCGGTCCGTAAACAAACTCTCTATGTCCAAATGAAGAAAATGAATAGCACAGTTTATAGTTTCAGTTTTTTTTATCTGGTAAATCAAGTGACTATGGGCGAACACTGCTTTTGAATTTTTTCTGTTGTTTTTTAATTTTCAGAATTTTTTTTCCTATTTCAATGGTTTCTCCTTTTTTAATTCTTCAGGAACGGAACTTTTCAAACGTTCTGATTGTCAAGACACAAACCCTGATGTATACTTCTGCATGTTCGCAGCCTTTGAAGAGCAATCTTGTGAAACGTATGGAAGGGAGTGTGCCCTTTCTTGTGGATTCTGTTAGAGCTTTGCGTGATCAATTCTCATGAAGAATTGCTGAAAATCCACAACTGATGTAAGCCATGCCTCTGATTTTTATTTACAACAGAACTTCTGCTGTATGTGAACTTACTGGACCCGCCTGACACTATTGAATATGGCAAAATATAACAATAAAATATCATAAGTCAAAATAAATTTGAATCAAACAATAAAACGTCCCCTGGAACTGATGATGATCTCCGTCAATCATTGCTTCTCTCACCAAGAATATCAAACCATACACTGACTATTTTTCATGTATCTGTCATAGTCGCACTTCATCAATAAAATTGCGAATGTTCTGAGTCATATATATGAAATAAACACTATAGACCCCAATGATATATATATTTTTTCAATTCGCTTCTTGCCCCTTTTTTTTCGGTTTTTATCCTCCTACCGCGCCTTCATTACAGTCTTCAAACGTTTGCTTCAAGCTTTAAGACAACATATGCTTGCCGACAAGTAGCTCAAAATTCCTGCTCTTCTTTTTTCTCTTGATCATTGCCGTTGGGCTTTCAAATCTCTTTCATGTTGAGCAATTCCAATTGTTGATCTAAGGCTCAGATTTTGAGACTTTGTGCTCAGATTATGGATAATTTTCTCAATCAGTTTGTGCTTTGTCGGAATATAAAGTCCTGAATCATTTGAAAATCAAGGGAATTGATCGGGACAAACGTTTGACACATAATAATAAGAGAAGATGATCAAGGCACGAGTTGTTCATTATTTTGTACATCAATGCAGAAATGAATAGTCAATGCGTTAGTTTAAAGTCCCCCCGCCTCAATTTTGCAGAGAACGCAGAGGACAAAACATCCTGTGTTTACCCAATATTCAAAAGTATAATAATTACTCTAGCTGCGTCTTTCTGCCGTACTAAAACCCTAAATAAATTATCCTGAGGTGTTGCTCCCAAACGAACTCATGCATAGTCAATCATAAGGAAGGATTGATAGTCACTTTCTCTAATTTGTCAATGTTTTGGACCAGAGTACCCTTTGTTTTGACCTTCACGAATAGGCAAGCTTTGTTAAACGCAGAGGGAGGTGAGAGCAAACAAAAAGTCGTTAAAGTTGTAAAGTTTATTCTAGTTTGCGCTTGGGGGAATCGTTAACGAGAGATTCAAGGGTTCCTTTCATCTCTTGCCATTTTCCAAACAGCTGCTTGACAGGTAATTACCCTTTTTCTGCAAAGTAATGCGGCTCATCAGGATTCAAAATATATTCCTTTAAAACGGCACCGTGGGAGATGAGTATCATTGGTCTAAAAATCGACCGCCTTGCGATTGCTTAGCTGATGTTTTGGAGCTTAATTAAATGATTCGTGGGAGACTGTTGATTATGAAAGAAAATGTGTATCAGAGTCATTAGCTAACAGAACTGAATTTACGTTGAAGCCTTCTAAGGGTAAAGTTTTAATAGTTTCTATAATTATAATAGTTAAAAGTAGTTAAAAACTGATAGGAAATCGCGCGAAGTCATATGATATATATCGACATATACAACAATACAAAAAAGGTTTGGAAATATGCATAAACGTTGGCACCATTGGTCGGATATCATGATGGAAAAGCAAACCGATCACGGAAAAACTAGGGACACGTGTTCACCATATAAGTTTGCACGGGGAAAAAGAAAGCTTTAAGAGGGCTTTCTGTGAATTTGCTTATTTAATTATACTCGTTTTTCTATAATAAACATTATTATCATTTTAGAATTATTATCATTATTATGTACATGCTGTTTTTACTTGTATGTAGTTTAATGCATTTTGTACAGTTTTTCCCCTTTTTTCTCCCATAATTCTTGTTAATATAATTTATAAACCTGTAATTCACCATTCTCTGCAAGAGGTTTGAATAAACGTTATTATCATTATTATCATTATTGTTGATTAAGATAATTCTTGAGTCGGTGGACAAGAACTAACCATAAAAAATTGTGTTATTTTCAGCCAATGCCGTGACAAAAGACCATCCTCTTTAATCTTTGGTAAGGGAAGTTCAATTTTGTAGGAAAATATGATAAGAAATGTGGCGCCAGTTTGTGAATAACACAACACTGCATGGCATTCCACATGTCTTTACAAAGTGCCGCGTTTTCATTCGCGTGTTATGGCTGTTGTTGATTCTAGCTTCTGGTGGTTATTACATTTCTTCTGTGTACAGAGCTGTTGAAAAATACCGTAGTCGTCCAATAAAGACTGTATTAAGCACAAAACATCCTGAAGAGATTTTCTTTCCAGCGGTTACGATCTGCCCTCTTAACGTATCTGCCAAAAGCAAAATAAACATGAAAGATACAAATCCATTGTTTGCACTAGGCGGCTTAAACATTACGTCATGCGCTGTGACGTCACAAGTGCGGGGATATCGTGCGTGTGGATCATCACTTCTTTGCTTACAAACCAAGAATGACTCAATGACTCTCTTACCCAGTTGTACAAGTCGATACAAACATGATTGGAGCAATGCGATGAGGAAGTCAAATCATCGACTGTATATCGAAAGTTTCTACCAATACTACAGCCAAAATATAAGCACTCTGATTAGACCCTTTTGCAGGTTCGGTAGGCAAGAGGCAGAATGCTTCGATAAAGAATTTTCCCAATAGTATCCACCTGGGGAATATGCTACACCTTTAACTCAGGGGCCGATGGTCAGGTAAAAAAAGTGGACGTTTCTTGGGTAGCATCGGGATTGTCAATTATTCTCGATACACAGACACACGAGTACACCTATGGAAAGAACTCAGGAGGATTGAAATTTTTGGTTCATTGACAAGGCGAGTACTTTGATGAATTTGAAGGAGTTAATGGGGGCCCAGGACAACATGTTCTTATCGGCCTTACACAGAAAACGGTAAGTTCGATATCTTTCATAATAATAAGACTTTGAACAGAGCGAATGTTTTATAAGTAACCAGACTATTTCAAATGAAGGTGATGTGTCTCTTGCTAACTTAGTTGAACTAGCCATTCATATATTTGATTTAAAGTTAAATTTATGGAATTTTCTACTTTGAGAGAATAATTTAGTGCACTCTGTAAGCATTGAAATTAATTTTAAAATAGTAAGGTCCATAGTAAGTCATGCATGTATTGCAACATATTTTAGTAATTTAATTAGTGTCAGTCCCAATTTTAGGGTTTTAGTGCCTGTGCTATGAAAATATATTTAAAAAAAACACATAATAAAAAAGCTAGCCGACCTATTCTCAGTTCAAGAACTTACAATCACCATATGCTACAAGGTGTACCAGGAAAACACTGAGAACATACTCCATATATTCAATGGAGGGATGCATTGAAGAATGTTACGACCAAAAGGTTGCAAAGATGTGTGGCTGTCGACTTCTAGGCCATGAAGGTAGGATGATGATCAAGTGCGTGTCTACTATTAGAAGATAAAATAACAAACCAATTTAATCCTGTTTGTATGGACAAAGCAGTTCAATTCAAATTACAGCATGAGACTATTATTTCATCCAGTTTCATCGCTCGACCTGAGAGTTTCCTCCTTGGATGGTTAAAATGAAAATTCCGTAAGGATTCTATTAAATATCCAAAACAGAAAGTAAAGATTCCCTCGTTTGATCCTTAGTTTCCTACCTTTCGGTATTTTTTGTTTCTTTTAGGTGTTTGGTTTTTGTTTTTGTTTGGTTGATTGGTTATTGTTGTTGTTATTGTTTTTTAATCCCACTCACCTTCTTACTTTATGATACAAGGTGTTCCTTTGGCTCCCCTATGCAATTCGCCTGAAGAAAGACTCTGCGTAAATAACGAAATCAGTAAGTAACAGAAAGTAGTCCAGCCGTTAGCAAGGATGGGCATTTTCCACATTTGGGTTAGGTTAGGGGTTCCGAATGCTGCAAATACATGTGTAGTTGATAACATTACAGCTAAAGTTCAAACCATTCTCTAATTCTTCGTTAATTCTTCGTATGAGTGCGATCCACACTTGAGGTTGCCATATCACAAATACTTTGAAGTCTCATTCATTCATTGGTTAATGAGTTTTCAGTGTACTCCCAGATCAAAAGTGATAATGAAATATTGAAAAAAGATCAGGACGGGAAATTATATTGGTACATTTACTAAAGTACCATGACATTATTGGATTACTCTGGTTTCACATGAATTCAAACAAAATGTTTTAAACAACATATCACTGGCGAGAGACTTGGTTAGAATAAAGCACAAAAAAATGGGCAAAGAAACTCTAGAACATCCAATCTAGTGAAAGTTCTTCTCTCTCAAAAGACAGGTGGCAAAAAAATTAATTGTACTTTACATTCCAGAGATGTGAATGAAATGCAATTTTTGTTAGGGCTCAAGTTAACCAGCGTAGTATAAAGGGGTGGGGGGTAAGCTTCAAATAAAAATATGGTACTGTGTCGGTAGGGGAGTATAACAACGTAACTTGGCCACCCTAAAGAGTTTCAAAGCTGAAACTTAAGGCTGAAACTTCAAAGCTGAAACTCTTTACAGCGCTCAATTTTACACTATCAACTCAGTAGATAAAACCAAAACGGCCTAAAATAAAGACTGACGCATCATCATCGGCTGTCACTCATTGTTGAGTAGGGCGGCAACTTCGTTGGCGCAAGCACAGTCCTATGCGGTGTTGGCAAATCCCGCCACAGTTGGGATGGGTGAGAGAGTGGGAAGCTGTTGAAGAAAGTGAGGAGACTCTTATCGCACGACGCTGGCTTTGTTGTGGTCTCTTGTGTAGTCTCTTGTGTGGTTTCTTCTTCCAAGCGGTCGTCGATCATCTTGAGTGACCGACTTACATGGCGGCGCGAGGCCCGTTCGATCTTGAGCATCCTTCTCCCATGTTGAGATTCTGATGTTGCAGGCCTTCAGGTGCCGTCCTAAGCAGTCTTTGACACGCAGGTTGGACCGACCAACTCTTCTGCCTTGTGGTACAGTAATACACTGTCCTGTTTTCTTCAGTTGTGGTATGTTTTACTTCAGCGAAGTAAAATGTAGGTGTAAGTTTGACAATAGGATAGATCCACGCGAGCAGAATCATCCAAGACGGTGTTAGAAGTTTTGGTCAGAAGGCAATGGAGGCCATTGGTCTTGCCAGGGACATGTTGCGGTCAATGCTTATATTTGTTAGGAGAGAGGAAGAAATGGTTGGAGCCAGGTACTGTAGAAAAAATAAAAAATTAATCATCAACGAAGCAAGTAATTATTCCTATGATTATTAAGCTTACTACAAAGCTGTGAATTGCATTTAACAACAATTACGTCAGCCTCATGTTACACCGCGATTGGCAAGCATAACGAAAGAATTACAATAAGTTTTTATCCTTCCTCGTTATAGAGTCATGTAAGTTGACTGACCGCAAGTACCTGTACAGATCGTGAGAACCTGCAGGCTCCGTTATCGATGGAGCTATATTTCTTTGGGTAGTGGAAATTACTGAAAAGAGTGAGACAAATGCAAAACAAGCAAACCATCAGATCAGAGATTGCCAAGTGCAAAAAGAGGCAACTGAACATTAGACTTATGTCCTCTTCGTCGAAGAATTGTAGCAACGGTCATCACCAATCCATTGCCAGTTGAACCAATTACTGCAAAAAAAATAAGACATAAAAACTGCACCCTCAAGATCCCTTCTGCATGCCCTTCAATAGTGGTAAATTGAAGTTTTTGAAGATCTACGCATGTTTTCTGGGCACTTACCCTAAAGTGTGAAACAATATGAATCCTTTTTACATCTTACTATATGATGGCATCTTTTAATAAACTGCTTTCTTTTAAAATGCGTACTTCCAAACAAATCTCGCCCGGTGGGACTGGTCTTAAGAAGGATATTACAAACAATGGGTCTATTTTGGGACCTGATTTCAAAACACTTTTGTTGTACAAGTGTTTACTTATTCTTAAATCACAAGGGTAAGTTCCAGACGTTCGCTGACGTTCCAGACGTTCCGTGATTCCTATCAATTCCGCAGGAGAAAATATGCTCTTCTATCTATGAATCAAAACACGGGGCAAAAAATAAAAAGAATTCTGGCATACCTGATTGTCTCATTGCTGCATCCGAAGTAGGTGGGACGAAGTTTGGCCTAGAATTTAAAACTTGATAACCAAGGGAACTAATAATCCCATAATGCCCTTTCATAAACTAAGGGATACTTCAACACTTCCCTTTTCTAACCCGTTCCCCTTTTCTGTTTATGGTTGTTTTCAATCCCTTCGTTTAACCTTTTTCCCACCGTGATTCTTTAGATATCGTACTTTAGGCTATCCTAACCTATCCTGCCAACTGACAAGTCGCAAAAATGACATCATAAGAAAGTGAATCGAATCCAATTGTTAGCTCAACGTCTTTTACTGAGAACTTCGTAATGTAGGCTAGAAAACGAAGCCTAGTCCCACACATCAATAATTACAATATAGTTCACCCTTGTTAGTGTTTTTTATCGGCTTTTAAAGCTAAAATTTGATTTTCTGATCTTACAATAGTTTAGATTATGAGTGACAACTCTGATTAGTTCTGCCTACTACAAATAAAGGCAAGGTTTCGTTGTACAAGCACATGCAGTATTTTAATGAGATACTCGCCTAATATTAAGGTCCTTCGCTCCGACGAAGGGCTAACGCTCGAAACGTCAGCTTTTGTAATCATTACGGTGGCCAATTTACCATTTCAACTTTGTTGATATATCCAAATTATTATAATATTAAGGTCGCTGAGATGAAAGCATGATGTGAAGGATTCCAGGTTCTATCATCCATTTCAGAAGACATTGCTTCAACTCAGTTCCTTATCCCTCCTTGTAACAACTAGTTTATTGCCTTGTTAATTATTTTATTATTTCCTTTGGATGGAGTTATCTCTAAGTCTGACCAAATTACACGATGGATGAGCAAAATATGGCAACCAGGAATAAAGTAACTTTTGTCGAGGTGGATCATCAAATTAGTGGAGATCAAAAGATTCAGTGCAACCTTTTGTTTACATCATTTCTAATTAGCATAGATTTTTTAACTATTTTCCACCAAGAAAACAAAGATGTGATGATTTGAAAGAAAATATGCAGAGTTCAGGCTACTTAATAGTGTTATTTATAAATCTAGATCTTCTTTGAGATCTTAGGATTACACAGTATCCATTTTCACTTTTACTAGCTCACTTCAAAAAAACTATTAGTACTGTAATGAATTCAACTGGAATAAGCACAATTAGCTCCATAAAAGCAAAGTATGTTGTAAAGCTGAGACAATGGTAAAGTTTCGAAAGTCAAATGATCATAACAACGGTTATAACTTCGACAGGGTACCAAAATAATGAGGTTAAAAATTCACAATTAAATGATTTTGCCTTATGTTAACCTATTTTATAATCAAAGAATAGCTGTAAGAATAGATCCGCAGATCCTAAAAAGCTTTTTTTCGATCAAAAGCACTTGTTATGAATGGGTAACATGACGATTTCGTGCACTTAGGAAACTAATTAGGAAATCAAGAAACTCGCAGATGGTCAACAAACTGCATCCCAAGAAGAGTCCCATGTTACCACCAATCTCACCTAAAGAGCAAAAAGCCAATGAGAATGCGAATATTCCTTTGTCTTTAGAGCAGATTGTTAACGGAAATACAGTTTCCACATTCAGTCTCGGGTAACATTTGCTCGCATGTAAGGGAACACTTTTAAGGGGAATCTTGAAAAATTCTGGTCACATCCCTGCAAGCTAGTGAACTTTTAAGTCAAAAAGAAAAAATTATTATTCCCCTTCTATTAGTTCAGCAAATGTTTCGATAGATTTGGTGCTTTTTCGTTTTCTGGCGGCCTTAAAATACTTAAATGGTCCTTTACTCAAAGCAAACAGTTACCGGGGCCGAACCAAAGGGAATACGAGCTGCAATGTCTCCGTAATTACTAATATAATTGCCAACAAACAACTAATACGTATAGTACCAAACAATGAATTGCTGTCGTAAGCTGGCTGCTGTTCCTGCATCTCATAACTCAAAGACTTGAAACCAACTTGTAAAAGTACAAGATTATCTCTGACGAAAGATGAAAAACATTCAAACAATACATTATGCTACCAATTCCGCGCAGATTATAGAAGTTTTCTTCTTGAATCATTACTTTTAGTCTGCAATTCTTAAGACAAAAGATTGCTGGCACAACATTTAGACCTGAATTTTTTTACATTGAAACTTTGAAATACGGAATATTGTACATTTTTGCAGTAAATGGCTTGAACTCGGGGGTAACATGTGAAAGTGTAGGGTGATAGTCCGGGTTAGTGTAGTCCTGAGAAGAACTGTTTTCGGTGGTAGTGACTGACGTTCCGACAACCTATGCGGGTGACGAGGAAAGGTGATGTCAACAATCCCATTGCTGAACATCATCAACTTACGAACCACAATATTGACTGGGACTCTGCGCAATGCCTAACCTACAGCACTGACTACTTTCAACGATTGACTCTGGAAAGCTGGTTTACTAACGTAGAACAGACTCCCTAAACAGGTGTCAACTACTACAAGCTCCATACAAATGACTCATTCACGACATACACATTACAAACGAACCGAACAGAACGACCCATCTTTACCGACGGATCGAAACAGACCAATCACGACCGACTTACGTCACTTGAGTCTAACAGCCAATAACATCACGGCAAAACTGACCAATCATTTTACACGAACTGAAATACGAACAATTTGGATATATCAACAAAGTTGAAATGGTAAACTGGTCACCGTAACGATTACAAAAGCTGACGTTTCTAGCGTTAGCCCTTCGTCGGAGCGAATGGCGTTAGCCCCTCGTTAACCCCTTCGCGTTAGCCTTTCGTTAGCCCTTCGCTCCGACGAAGGGCTAACGCTCGAAACGTCGGCTTTTATAATCGTAACGTTGGCCAATTTACCATTTCAAATTATCAGAGAGACAGTTCCGTCGGTGACCTTCAGTAAACGATTCATCTCGAGGCCCATGGAAGTAATAACAGAGGAAAAAATCACTCCAGCGGTGAAAATGTTTACACGATAAAGAGGCTGACGTATGTTTAAATAATTATTAGGAAGCAATTGTCTTAACGCTTGCCATCATATCAAGCATACTAGAATTGAAATTTACTTCAAATATATTTTGAACCTGAATTTACTTACTATTATTATTTTAAACCATTATTTTCACAAATTTTTAAAACGTTTTGGATCTAAAAATTTCACAAGCTTAATTTTTTGTGTGATGAGGTCGATCAGAACACAATTACAAAAATTAAAGGACACTGATTGGCTAAAAGTCGACTTATATTTACCAGTGAAAGCAAGTTGTTGACTTTACAGTTTATCTTATCAGCATACTGAACGGTGAAGGATAATAGAAAGTGCCATGCAATATTACAGGAAAAATAATTGGGCCCGCTTTACTGCTTTACTGATTTTAAGGCACTAATCATAGATAGAAGGATTAATTACTTTTCTAAATGAAAAACAATCGATCTGACCATCGGACGGCAAAAACATGATTAAGATTGAATATATGAAAGCGGTACCATGCCTTAATTGATATATGTATGTGAATGTGGACTTCTAAAGGCGCAAATGTTGTAGCGATCCTCACAGAAATGAACACTACTTATGCGGTACCAGTGCGTAAATTGTAATCATGGCTGCTCCCATTGATGGCTGTTCTTTGATTGTTTTTTTCTTAAGGGGTTTTATTTTTATTCAACAGTCAATGGATTCTAACAAAGCCTCTAAAAGGGTCATAATAATCAATAAAAACACAACTTAAACCATGCCATCCTCGTGTATGGCTCATCCTGGTTTCCTTGAATTTATGTCGAGGATAATAACCATTTGATCTATAAGCACCAAATCTGAAGATGATTTCTGCAACAAAATGTCTCTCGCTTAAAAATCTGTGTACTGGAAAATACTGCTCACAGTTGTATACCTCACCATAGAAACAAGAGTTAATTCAAAATGTTAGTCCGTATTGTCTTTCCTTTTGCTACTGACGTACGAAAAAACTGAAAAAAGTAAGACAACAAAAAGATAAATAAACGAAAACTAAAGCCTCCCCCAAGGGAGGTTTCGAAATATAGAAATGAATAAAGACAGACCTATGACGTCGGCACCCACACAGTCATATTCTTCCCAGTTAGGGAACTGTTAGCCAGCAATATTAGAGCTGATAAGGATCCATATACAGTACTAGCCACTATTTTCAATGAGAAAAGAATATGCGTGTGGTTTAATGCCAAGGGAAATATTTGGCAACTGACGTCAACACGACACCGTCATCATTTTTTGCTTGAGTGAATTGTTGTTATAGACGTAAGAGCTGGAAACGACATCATTGTGAGTAATGTGCGAACATATTCAGAACAGTTTTCTGTTAACCACCGGAATATATGGCTGATTCGTTTATCTCAAGTCGGAATCCATGATTTAACTTTCTGAAGTTGTTCATATTGGACTGCGCGATAGTTCGAAGAGTCAACACAAATTAAGGCACGCTATTTGCGACATAAACAAGGTGAGATGGTGATCTATGTTGGTATGAAATGGTTTCCTTGGCTCTGACACAAATGTGGCTTAAGCTTTAGATCAGTTGGAGGAGAAAATCTTATAAGACTTTGTATGTACTCGAAGTGGAATACGCCAGCTTGCCACAGAAGGATTAGGCCATACTGTTTGCACTGTGAACTTGTTGGGGGCTGGTGCGTTCATCATTGCGTGACAGTGTAAATGTGGGATTGTAATGGTTACTGCACGTAATGCCTTAATGATCGAAGCAAATTTTAATTATCTCGTTAAATGAAATATCCGACTTTACATTAGAAGTGCGTTAGACTGATATCTTATCAACTGCCATCTCCAAGTATAAGTTGGCGCGATATTATAGAAAAATTCACTGCCTGACGAGTGAATTCCACGTTAAATTTCACGCGNGACGCAGCCCCAAACAGTTTCTTTAGAAACTATCAGCCTTTATTGAAATACGCACATTCTACTGACGACAACTATTCACTTAACTCTGATGATGACTTCTGCACAGGTTGTCGAAACGTCAGTCACCACCACCGACAACAGTCCTTCTCAGGACTACACTCACTCGGACGATCGCACTACACTTTCACATTGTACATTTTCCTTCTATAGTTTTATTTTAATTGATACTATACTCCCAAAGAGACTCTCTTTTCCCAAGATGATGAATGGGTTAATGCAAACTGCTGACCAAATGGGGATTGGTTACCTTAAAATGAACTGGATCTACTCGAGGAGGAAGTAGAACACCTCTAGTTGTCTCATCCAACATGTTGACTAGACTCTTATGCTATTTGAACGGACAAATAAGACTTCGGCCATTTTACAGTGAAGGAGAGGGTAATTTTTATTATAGGAAAATTGATTGATTGACCAGAGAATTCTATTGTAAATCTTGTAGCTCAGATTTTCTTTCCATGCTAGAGTATGATTTAGAAGAAGTTTCAGACAATCCAGTTAAAACTGAAAAACCTACGGGCAGGGCAGATGATCAACTGTTTTTAAGTCAGATCCTTTACCTCTGGTACTGTTTATCGGCATAGTAACCAGACTTTATGAACGAGTCGGCTGTACCTGCATCAGGAAATTTCGAGTAGGACACCTCAGGATGGTGTTTAGTTTGAGAACAGGGAACTTGACAGTCTCAGTACTCTTCATCCACCATTTCTTTATAGAAATGCACAACAATTAAAGTGATAAACGATTCTAGGTCATTAACTATGTTTGCTCATTTTGGAATTCTTAGTCAGCACATGTGGTTTTTTTCCTGGAAAATGAACGAGCCTATCTACCTTGACGGGAGGATTTTTCATGTGCATATTGCGTACTGTAATTATGCGTGAAAGTAACTGAGAGGTATTCAAACAGGAGACGAAATGTTTCAAGTGCAATTCAGTGAGCTAGCTCTGAGGCTCCTTGACTTGTGCAGAGTCATTTTCATTTTAACTATCGGTTCTCGGTTGTTTAAATCGCATCGTATTGATATTGTATTATATAACCAAAAGTACTATTTTAAGAAATGTTAAACGAAAGAATATAACAAAAGAGTAATTAGGAAGCCTCCACAAGGTCTCTTTTTTCATTAGCACTTCTTTAATTTTAATGTCCCCTTCTTTCTACTTTACAGTGGAATGATACGATATGGTTCTGTCAGTTCAGGGCAGAGTAGCTTTTTCTTTGTTTATTACTCCAAAAATATCCAGATTACAACTGTATTGCAGGTTAACCGATTCTTTGTTGTTTATTTGACCGTATTGCATCATAAACGAAAAAGGTAACACATTTTTTCTAGAACTGCTTGCGAGAAGGCCTTTTCCTTGACGCTAGTTGCAGCACAGAGAGTCGGATACCTCAATTTTAAAGTTGTCTCACCTGCTATCTGCTCAACACAAAGAAGCTCTTCGGATGATATACACCCGGGTGTCCCAGAGGTAACTTAGAGAGAAAGAAATGCACAAGCTAGTAATTTTCTTTTTCAAAGTATTCAAATTCTCATGAGCTCAAAGGCTTTTAGCAGATGTTGCTCGGTCTCTATCATTCCGCACTTAATATTCGACCCACCACTTTAAGGGTGGAGGGCATGTTCGCATGTGAAAAGAAGAATTTTTATTCTCACGTTAGACCCCCTTGCTTTGCTTAGCCATACAGTTTGTAACGAATGTACCTATAGTTGGAAAATAAAACGTGTTCTTCACGCAATTTTTTAGTAGGATTTTCAAGGCAACTCTATTACGTCAGAGGAGAAAAATGATAACACTCGTTTGTTTACATCAGAAACGAGGGCACAGGGTTAGTTGAATAAAGCTGAATTGTCATTTTTCCGAATCAAAGTTCGATGAAGCGAGTGAAATAAACCATTTGCGTACCTTTATAACCAGCGGGTCGACAGCCACAATAGTTGATAACGTTGTCAGCCAGACATTCATAAAGACATCCTTCTGTCGTGTACGTAAAATAGGTATTCAACTCTTTCTTGGTGCAGTTGGTTGCGTATGGCTTCTCAAGGTTCTGATACTGAAATCATTATTCATTTCGATCTTAAACTGAAACTATGCATAATTGTTTTTCTTTATCCAAATGTTGACTCTGTATTTTTTTATTACTGTTCTATTGCTGATTTCTGCACGATAGTTGTTCATGTTCATTTTGGATGACATCTGCTTCGTTACTTCTTCGTCTGGAGACGAAATACCCTATACGTTGAGATTGTAGTGGATTGACTTATACTAACTTAGTTATCTTTCTACCGCAACACAACACGACTGTTCGGATTTTAAGTGATCGAGCAAACTTACCCGTTTCTGGGAAAGAGAAATAACTACGTGCTGTCCTGGTCCCACATTGATTCCTTCCCATTCATCAATGTATTCACCTTGCCCATGTATCAACACCTTGAATCCTTCTGAAAATTTTCCTTGGGTATACTCAAGAGTTTGTGCGTCGAGAATGACTGACAGCCCAGAGGAAACTCCGGCAGTTTTCGATATTTTCACTTCATTGTCAGTACCCGAGTTAAAGGTGAAGCACATACCCCAAGGGGTTACTACGGGGACAAAATCTGCCGGAGAGCAAGCAGCGTCGTCCCAGCCGAATGTGCACAATGGTCCAATCATGGAGGTTGTATTTTGGCTGTAGAGCCGAAAAAAATTTTCAACGTCTAGACGATTAGATTGCTGCAGCATTACCTTTAAGAGAACTTGTTTGTATTGACTTTCGCAAAATGGCAAATCAGTTTCCAAATCTGCCGGAAAGCAACAACAAAGTATAGACAATCCGCAAGGCCGATTGCCCCGAACTTCTGCAGTCACAGCACATGTACTGATGTTTAAGCCGCTGGACGCAAACAGTGGATCATCATCTTTCATAAATATCTTGCTTTTGGTGAAAAGGTTGAGTGGGCAGATCGTTACAGCTGGAAAATCCATCTCTTTGAGGCGGTTTCTGCTTACTAAAGTGGTAACTGGTCGATCGTAGTATTTGGCGAAAGCGCCGTAAACGGTGGAAATATAATAACCACCAGAGCTCAACAACATTATCATCCAGATAAGGCGAATGAAGATCTGACGCCTCATGAAGACATATCGAATGCCATGAAGTGTTGTACCGTTCACAAATTCCCTCCAAATATCTGTCGATGACTGGGCATTATTATCACCAACTTGAGCTGATTTCTGGGAAAGCTTCTTTTCTTGCATCTTAGTCGTTGAAAACTCTGTGGTATCCTCTGCCATAGGAGGAGGTTTCACATTTATGTCAGGTATAGGTGCTTTTATTTCGTCTTCTTAAAGAAGATAAAAATGAAAATTAAAAAACAGGAAATGAAAAATGTAAGGTATAGTAACCCTGTTGAACCATCCATCCATCCAGAAAAAGGGAAATGAAAAATGTAAGGTATGGTAACCCTGCTGAACCACCCATTTTGAGTGTTATACCATTATTACACTGAAATAGTAATACTGTTAACCAATTAAATCTCCGAACTAAATTATCTACCTATATTATATGGATTGTTATGACGATCACAATAATAATGACTGTACAATCTGAAAAATTGGAATCTGCTCGAACGTTGCGGGGAGGGACCGGTTCATTTCTTTGCACCGCCGATATGTTTTTTGTTTATATACTATATGTTACTGGCAGGCAGGGGGTTTGTCGTAAAACCTGTGAACGAGAACTTCAAATTTTATATCATTTTACCTGGTATCAGTGGTTAGGAGGTTTAGATAGAAAGTAATGAATATGGACTTGTCACAAATCCCCAAAAATAAAGCAATTGTCGCATATATTGCAGTCTCAGAGATGCACTCAATAGTATGATCATACTGAGGGCACAGAGAACAAAGTCATCATATGAATAGGCAGCTGAGCAAACACTTCTTTAAAATAATTTTCATTTTTGAAATGGAATTGACTTATTCCGAATAATATGTGACTTCTTACCACTTTGAGTGTAATTGTATTACTTGTTATCCTTTAATCTTCAGATGCTTTCTCGTATTTTTTTTTTTTTTTTTTGCGGTTCTGCGTGTTTCTCGTGAGCCGCTTAAAAATAAATTACAGTCCTAAGGCGAATTCAAACAACTTTATTTGAATGTACGATTTGATTAATATGAACGGGGATAAAATTTGCGGCGAATTATCCTTGCTTAAAAGACCGAATTATCATGAGTGCTACTTTGTCGATAACGGATCGTATTCTATTTAAAGCAAAAGGGCCACTAATCTTTCTCAGCGATTTTAAGAATGAAACAAAGTCATCATCTTTCCTTAGATGGTGGATATTTAGAATATGTTGTTTGCTTTAAAAACAGAGGAAGGATCTTTCATTGTCACGTAAGGTGGCCCGTATTAAACTTTTATTACACAGTTTCTTACACCAGAAAACATGTGCTAGCGTCTTTATTTTTATTCCAATACATTTAAAGCGTGCGATTGATAATTTGACAGGGAATCTCTCGCTGCCGCAGTGAAACTGGGCTCATAGTTACTTGACTAGATGGACGTTTCAGTAAAATTTCTCACCATAACTACTTTGAACTTATCAAGGGAACTACGCAGAAGCATCAATGAACCAAATGAGCTATGGCCAAGTGTAAAAGGGCCTTCAGGCGACAATTATAGGTCAAAAAATATGATGAAAATAAAAAAATGGTCTTCTTTTCCTCTCTTGTCAAACTTAATCGATTGCATGTGAATAAAAAAACTAACCTTTAAATCTATGGCTGCGATGGACGTAACACGTCGTGAGAAAACAAATTTCTTTACCCTAAAAGCTAACAGGGATTTTTTTTGGTGATCTCTTCACAGATTAAGGATGCAATTTTCCCGAAAGACTCATATAACGTTGGTAACGAAAAATAATTTTATTTATTTAAGCTACACACAAAAGGTTTACTACCAATAACCAGAATAGAATGCATAGATAATAACCTAATATCTGCATTATCAGTTGAAATATTTTTTCCGTCGATTTTGTAAAGATCTTTTTTTCCTGCAATGAATATCCATTTATGTTATGAGTTTGGCTAAAAAATCTTCAGTAACGACGGCTCGAGTGTTTGGAATATTCAGTAATAAATATTCATCAATTCAATAAATTTCCTATCTGTATCTTAAATTAGGTTGATGCCAAAAACATAACAACAGACAGGTACCTTGTTTTCACACTTTTCAGACATGCAAAGTTGAAATTAAGGCCCCCTCAGTAATCAAAACTATTTTTCTGTAAGTGAATTTCTTGCTTGATTTTACATTAAAAGGCGTAAAATAACAATGGATTTCTTCTACTTTTAAAATATAGCGGTTCAGTAACTAGATTATCAATCTATTTCTAAATCTCTATGACTTACCCCTTGGGAACGATGAAGTCGTATCGCTTGCCCTGGAGCTTGTTTGATTTTCTTTTGTTTCTTTCTTTTTCTTTGCTTTCAGAAACGAGTTTTTTACGAAGATTTTTTTTCCTTATTTGGCAATAGAACATTCAAATTTATGATAAAAGGAATCTAGGGGAGATTCAAACTACGGCGAAAACTGCCATATAGTATCATAATCTGAATTCCCCTTAACTCTGAAAAAAGCCCTTAAAGTGGGATTAGAGGATTGAGGCTCTTACTGACATATCAGAGAGACAAATGAATAAAGGCTGATAGTTTCTAAAGAAACTGTTTGGGGCTGCGTCGGTGGGGGTAACGAAATAATTTGATTATATCAACAAAGTTGAAATGGTAAATGGGCCACCGTTACGATTATAAAAGCTGACGTTTCGATGGTTAGCCCTTCGTCGGAGCGAATGGCGTTAGCCCCTCGTTAACCCCTTCGCGTTAGCCTTTCGTTAGCCCTTCGCTCCGACGAAGGGCTAACGCTCGAAACGTCAGCTTTTATAATCGTAACGTTGGCCAATTTACCATTTCAAATTATCAGAGAGACAGTTCCGTCGGTGACCTTCAGTAAACGATTCATCTCGAGGCCCATGGAAGTAATAACAGAGGAAAAAATCACTCCAGCGGTGAAAATGTTTACACGATAAAGAGGCTGACGTATGTTTAAATAATTATTAGGAAGCAATTGTCTTAACGCTTGCCATCATATCAAGCATACTAGAATTGAAATTTACTTCAAATATATTTTGAACCTGAATTTACTTACTATTATTATTTTAAACCATTATTTTCACAAATTTTTAAAACGTTTTGGATCTAAAAATTTCACAAGCTTAATTTTTTGTGTGATGAGGTCGATCAGAACACAATTACAAAAATTAAAGGACACTGATTGGCTAAAAGTCGACTTATATTTACCAGTGAAAGCAAGTTGTTGACTTTACAGTTTATCTTATCAGCATACTGAACGGTGAAGGATAATAGAAAGTGCCATGCAATATTACAGGAAAAATAATTGGGCCCGCTTTACTGCTTTACTGATTTTAAGGCACTAATCATAGATAGAAGGATTAATTACTTTTCTAAATGAAAAACAATCGATCTGACCATCGGACGGCAAAAACATGATTAAGATTGAATATATGAAAGCGGTACCATGCCTTAATTGATATATGTATGTGAATGTGGACTTCTAAAGGCGCAAATGTTGTAGCGATCCTCACAGAAATGAACACTACTTATGCGGTACCAGTGCGTAAATTGTAATCATGGCTGCTCCCATTGATGGCTGTTCTTTGATTGTTTTTTTCTTAAGGGGTTTTATTTTTATTCAACAGTCAATGGATTCTAACAAAGCCTCTAAAAGGGTCATAATAATCAATAAAAACACAACTTAAACCATGCCATCCTCGTGTATGGCTCATCCTGGTTTCCTTGAATTTATGTCGAGGATAATAACCATTTGATCTATAAGCACCAAATCTGAAGATGATTTCTGCAACAAAATGTCTCTCGCTTAAAAATCTGTGTACTGGAAAATACTGCTCACAGTTGTATACCTCACCATAGAAACAAGAGTTAATTCAAAATGTTAGTCCGTATTGTCTTTCCTTTTGCTACTGACGTACGAAAAAACTGAAAAAAGTAAGACAACAAAAAGATAAATAAACGAAAACTAAAGCCTCCCCCAAGGGAGGTTTCGAAATATAGAAATGAATAAAGACAGACCTATGACGTCGGCACCCACACAGTCATATTCTTCCCAGTTAGGGAACTGTTAGCCAGCAATATTAGAGCTGATAAGGATCCATATACAGTACTAGCCACTATTTTCAATGAGAAAAGAATATGCGTGTGGTTTAATGCCAAGGGAAATATTTGGCAACTGACGTCAACACGACACCGTCATCATTTTTTGCTTGAGTGAATTGTTGTTATAGACGTAAGAGCTGGAAACGACATCATTGTGAGTAATGTGCGAACATATTCAGAACAGTTTTCTGTTAACCACCGGAATATATGGCTGATTCGTTTATCTCAAGTCGGAATCCATGATTTAACTTTCTGAAGTTGTTCATATTGGACTGCGCGATAGTTCGAAGAGTCAACACAAATTAAGGCACGCTATTTGCGACATAAACAAGGTGAGATGGTGATCTATGTTGGTATGAAATGGTTTCCTTGGCTCTGACACAAATGTGGCTTAAGCTTTAGATCAGTTGGAGGAGAAAATCTTATAAGACTTTGTATGTACTCGAAGTGGAATACGCCAGCTTGCCACAGAAGGATTAGGCCATACTGTTTGCACTGTGAACTTGTTGGGGGCTGGTGCGTTCATCATTGCGTGACAGTGTAAATGTGGGATTGTAATGGTTACTGCTAAGATGTTTGTGTACGACGTTAAATTGAATTACATTTAAATAAGTCGCGGATGCGAGGGTTTCACGAATCTTTTTCTTGCATTTTAAGCTATCGCTTCAAAATGATTTTCTAATTGACTATAGTCGTCATTAGGAAAACTTGAATTTTCAAATATTTACTGACTAGGGTGAAAAAAACACTGCTTTTAATCGAAACGAATGCGAGAGAAATTTTGTCGCTCTAAAACTGAACCAATGAAATGCAATCGATTGACAACAAAAAGTTGAGCTATATCCCCAATATTCACCTCTGCATTGAATTTGAAATGCAGATAAGTTGAACCAACATTCAATGGTTACAACAAATGTTTAACTAAGAAGGATTTAAGGACACGAAGGATCCGAAAAACAACTGAATTGGTAGAGATGGAAACCTGACTAGAAGATTATTCGCAGTATGTGGTCAGCAAGTCAGTTTTTAAAATATTCAATGCATTTAGTTTCACTTTGAAGAAAGGTATAGACGCTTTTCAGTTTTTCAAGTCGTATTTTTAATTTTTCACCTTGCCGCAGCTTCATTTCAGCGATATGCGACTGACAGGTCGAAATAAGACTTGAAGGGGTCTTTTCTTGTCCGTATCGAAACAAAGTTAAATTTTCATGGATGTACACAAACAAATCTAAAAGGTTTACACAACGCTAATGAAAACACGTGGTATAGTATGGTGCAATCAAGAAAGGAACTGTTTGTGATGGAGACAAACTAACTCCCGAGTTAGGATTTCGAGTTGGATTTTCGAGTTAGGATTTCGAGTTGGATTTTCGAGTAAGGATATAGAGTCGGTTTTTTCGAAATGCTTACTAGTAATCCAGCTGCAACGAATCGGCTAGTCCAATGCAGTCAACAAAAGAATTCGTGTAGGGGTGGGGTTAGTGTTTTACCTTTTTATTATGCGACGTCACTATGTAAAGCAGACATGAGTAAGAGGTAAGCCATCGAGTCTTCCACCAACTCATTTCCCTTCGCCACAAACACGCTCCTCATCTCAAAAATAGAAAGATTGGGAAAGCTTTAATACCAAAAGATAAACGAAACGAGAAAAATTACGATAACCGGGCGTAATTCGAAGGTAAGATCTAGATTATGATTTCTCTTGTCATATTTATTCTGGTGGTACAAATTTAGAAATCCGTGTTAAGGATTAAACACAACAAAAAGCAAATATATAAATCCTGTAATCCCACCATATTTTGATTACCGACAAATGGCACTAATGCTGCTTTTCAGTGCTTTCCTAGTTCCCTAACCCCTAGTAACTGTTTTGTTTTTTGCAAAAAGGCTTCATTAAAGGGGAGGCCCTTAGACTTCTCAGAACGAACTCCTCTCAAACGATATTCCAGGAGAAAATTGCAAATTTCAAAGCGCATTTGCTAAAGAGAGGCTACCCAGAGGACCTCATTAACACAACCCTCTCAGAGGTGAATTTCAAAAACAGGAAATTATCTCTTCAACAGAAACCGAAGACGAACCAACGAATCCTGCCTTTTGTTACACAATACCAACCATCAGTGCCAAACCTAAAGCAAATTCTCAAGAAAAACTGGCATTCAATAGAAACACAACCACTACTGAGCGAACTGTACAAAAATCCGCCGCTAGTATCTTACAAACGGAGGGCGGTCGCTCAAAGACATACTCGTGAGGGCCAAACTTTGAATAGGCTATTCTAAACACGCGCTGGGGAGTCGTGTAGGCCTGTCAACCCCATTTAACACAAAAAAATCCCGCCAAAAAATTCTAACTCGAAAATCCTAACTCGAAAATCCAACTCGAAAATCCTAACTCGAAAATCCAACTCGAAAATCCAACTCCGAATCCAACTCGAAATCCTAACTCGATAAATAGGCAACCTCTATGTGGTCCATCGCAAAGTAAGAAAGCGTTATCATCACATTCAAACTTCCCGTCGCTAAAGTGATGAAGATGACCATAAACAATGCACCCTCCACAAATTACGATGAGAAAGGTAGATCTTTCATATGTTTTTACAGACTATGGGAAGCTTCTGGGGCTGAATTAATCTCAGCCGGAAGAAATCTGAACTCGATTTTTGATAAGTTCTAAGGTTATATGTTACATTCTAATTTACCACTGAGCATAGTGATAGAGTGCTTGATAAATAATTTCTGAACCACTTGAGATCTAAAATCACTGTATTTCAGTAATTTACTTTTGAGTCAACACTGACCTTTTTGTTTATATCTAGTGCGAATGACAACCAATAAATTTTGTGTTCAAAAAGTTGAATTGAGGGGTAAACATGTTGGTAATGGAGGTAGGAAATGAGAGAGCATTTAGTTACCTCTTTCAAATCAACTCAAAATTAGAGCTTGTCAATTACCCGAGATGGTACACAGGCTGTATCAATAAAATCCCTATTCAAAATAATTATGAGGTCAGGGCCTTGTTTTACCCTCAGGCTACAATAAAAACTGAAGCCAGGCAAAGGTCGATAAATAACTGGAGAAAAACTGGTGAATTTTAAAACAACAGCAAAAGTTCAGTATAAATCAAATCATATTTATTTTGTTTGAGTTTTGACACGTAATTTGGTTTCTTCGTAGAGACAAAAATTGGTCAGTATTCGCTTGGAGACTGGAATTGACTCACGCCAATGGCAGAGAAGATAAACACCGTACAAGTGACAAAGCTTCAAGAGGGGGCAGTTTCCAAGACGCCTCCTCTGTCAGACGGTAAAAGCCGTCAAAGTGGAGCAGAGATGTGGCGCGAGTTTGTTGATAACACAACACTGCATGGTATTCGTTATATCTTCATGAAGCGCCATGCAGTCATTCGCCTAATATGGTTGATTTTACTATTGTCGTCTGGGGGTTACTACATTTTTACAGTTTACAGAGCTTTTGACAAATACTATAGTCGTCCTATTAATACTTTAGTGAGCAGAAAACATCTAAGAGAAATGGATTTTCCAGCTATTACGATCTGTTCTAACAGTTTATTCTCAAAAAGCAAACTCTCTTTAGCTGATGATGATCCATCCTTTGCATCCAGCGGTTTAAATATCTCGTCATGTGCAGTTACATCACAAACCCGAGCCAATCGTCTTTGTGGATTGTCTCTGCTTTGCTGTTGTGCTCCTTTTGATAATGAGAACAAGTCTCTTGCTCTCCCAAACTGTACATATGAATACAAACAAGAACTTTTGAAAGATATTAAAAAATCTAACCATCGTATCGACGTTGAGGGTTTTTATCAAAAATACAGTCTAAATATCAGTAATCTGGTGGGACCTATTTGTCTCTTCAGTTGGAGGAAAACGCAGTGTTCAGTAATAGACTTCAATCCCATGGTGACCGAGTGGGGAATGTGCTACACGTTTAATTCAGGAAGAGAAAGCGAAATAAAAAGAGTAGACACTGCTGGGATTTCTTCTGGACTTACACTGCTCCTTGATGCAAACACAGCTGAGTATACCCGAGGAAAGTTTTCCGAGGGATTCAAAGTGTTGATCCACGGACAAGGTGAATACTTTGATGAGTTTGAAGGAATCAGCGTGGGACCTGGGCAACATGCTTCAATCGCTATTTCGCAGAAACGGGTTTGTTTGTTTATTCATTATTTGTTCGCATGTAATCGTTGTCAATGTCTTAGTCTTTATGATATTTCACAGACTCAAGTGCCGTTTTTCCTACCTAAGCAGGCAACACTCTGGTGAGTGCGATTACGGGATTAAGGCTTGCAATTTCAGAGATGCACAATACACATGATACAGGAGAATTAACTGAAAGGGAGATACGTGAGCTGATTCAAATAAAACTGGTCTGCAAATGAAATGTTCTATTTCAAATATAAATTGATTAGTTAATGTTGTTAGGTTGTTAGGTTATTCTCATTTGTTTCTTTTTTATGTTTTCTTTTTTCAACTTGGCTATGTTTTCTTTTCCCTTTTAGTATGAAAATCTGGAGAAGCCTTATGCCACTAACTGCACAAATAAACCATTAAATACATTTTCTAAGTACTCATCAGAAGGATGCCTTTATGAGTGCCGGGCTCAAAACAGTATTAAAATTTGTGGCTGTCGACCCATCGGCTACATTAGTAAGATATGTGTTTCTGATTTATCTGAACCAATTAGTGATAAGTAAAATATGAATTACTGAAATATTTCCGCACAAAAACGAAGTAGGCATTGTAACAAACTACTCACACCCCAAGAGACTAATGAAGACTGAGCGATTCAGTTAAAATGCTTCTACCAAAGTCAAAATTTCGTGTCAGATTCTTCTATACTTTATGTCATCAGAACGTGAGATTTTAAAAGATATTTGCTTCAACCACCGTCTAGTATTACTGAGCCCCCTTCAAAAGTTTCTTCTTGACTTCGAAAAAGTCACGATTCCTCCTGCCTCCAGTTTACAGAACTGATTTGACGAATTCTACCCACCTTGCCAGAGCCATTGAAATTTACCATTAGTTAATTGAGACGAAGGACCCAGTGTTGTTGTTCATGTAGGGACCTTCGTGAATATTTTCGATGAATTTGAACGTTGTGGCGATTTTGAGAACTGTATCAGCTTATCAGGCTCTGCTTATTTTCCGTTGATTGTATTACATGTATTTGGTTTGTTTCTTGTTAGATTCCCCTGACACTCCTTCTTGCCTATCGCCCAATGAGGTTAAATGCAGTGACAGCGTTGACGGTAAGAGAATATTAGGCTGACAAGTTAGAATTACAGCATGCATGGTCCTGTAAACATGCTATGACATGCTTGTATCAACAAGCTGCATTCTACCTTACAACTCTCTTTCATGTAATGGCAACGGTCGTGGATTTTTTGAAGCAGCTAGATTCAGCAAAATCATTCAGTTACTTTGCGTCTCGTTTCGCGATCAGTGTCAGTCGTTATTGACCGATATCATCGTTTCTTACGTTATTACACTTGTTGTGGGCTTAAGTTTAATCGATCGATGGTCTTTTTGGTAGCTGTTCTTGACTGATTACCTCTAAATTAGAATTAAAATAGCTCATTTGCGAAGTTAAGGCTTGCGTTTGCTGTAAAGGATTCCATTTTTTTTCTTTCTCTTTTCATTTCTTTGTTAATTCATATTTTTATTATTATCTCCTCATAAAGCATCTATAGACGAAGAAGTTTGTGACTGCCAAGTTCCTTGCTTTCAAACTAGATATCAAGCCGAAGTTTCTTATTCAAAGTTCCCCAACATAGGTACCGCTGAGGACCTATTGTATGAAGGCTATGAGAGTTTACAGTATATGAGGTATTTTTTATGATATTTGAAAATGGCACAGATAGGGAAAACCTACTCTTCTAAGGCTATTACATCAAGGGAATATATTTACTTTCTGCCCCTGTAACGGGTTTGGTCTTTCGTCACGTTTTGAACAAAAGTAGAGACAACGTTATGGGGGATGGATACATTAGCGGAAGTACGGGATCTCGAAAAGACATAGAAATCCTGGTCTGAATTTTTTTTTTTAGCAATTTAGTAAGTTATCTAAGGTTCGCAGCATTGGTATTAGCAAAGTTGCCAAAGATTCTGGTTCGAAATGCAGACAGAAAAGCGCCTAACTTTTCCAATTAATTAGTCTTCATAACTTTTGTTAACATTCTTTTGTCCCAATTCGTCAGAGATAACCTTGTGTTTTTACAAGTTGGATTTAAGTCCTTGGGATATGAAATGCAGAAGCAGCAGCCAGCATATGACAGCAACTCATTATTTGGTGAGAAATTTATATAGAGACTCAAAGTTACATCGGACACAGTCCGTTGTATTCGAACACTTGTAATGCTCCTGCATATAAGACAGTATTGTCAATGGTGATTCCTCTTTCCTCATTTTAGGTGAGATCGGTGGAAATATGGGCTTATTCCTGGGATGCAGCCTGCTGACCATATGCGAGTTATTGGACTTTTTCATCAGTTACCTGGCAGCACGAAACCGTAACTTGACTCATCCAGCATAATGGCGGTACAGATAGTTGCGCGGGAATCAGTAGTCCTCAAGATTCCGCCGTCTTTCTGTGCTGACCTTATAAGTTATCTGTTCTTCTGAAAAGTACATTGACGTTTTGATGATCTGCAAGTTACTGCTAAATACGAAATCCTGTATACATACATACATACATACATACATACATACATACATACAACTTTATATGATTTGTAGGTTTAAGGAAGGCAGTCGGACTGATGTGGAACTACCTAAACTATACTTAATACAACTAGGCAATCACTAAGATATAAATGATTACTTTAAGATTCTCTAAATATGTTAAAATTACATCAAAAATTCTCAAAACATGTTTGGGGTTTAATAGTAACAGAAATCAGGTCGCTTATTACTGAGTTATTAAACAAGACTCCTTCCCAAAGCCCATTTTCTCTAAAAGTTCAGAATCATTTTTAATCTTAACCTTAAAGCTTGAAGAGTTTGCTTCTTTTTTGTAAGGTTCTGGCAACATATTCCACACAGTGGTACCTCTAACTTAAAGAGTTTCTACCTATTCGATTCTACAAAGTGGTGTAATGAATTTTTCTGCTCTTCTTAAACTATGATAATTCTGCCTGTCTTTATCAGAAACAGCTGACAAGTGGATTTGGGAGCTTGATTATAAAAAAACTGAGTGCATAAGTGAGGCTAGTTTACACTTATATACATTACATTTACACGCATGGTAAACGAGTAATAAAGTGTAGCTGGATTATCTAAAGGCAGGAAATTTTACAACACAACCGTTTTAAATTTCTCTTGTCTAAATAAAAGTTCAAGACCTATAAAGAATGTAAAGATAACTGTATAACGACTGACATTGTGACAACTTGAGGCAAAGTCAGCCGTCAAAGACAAGTTGTCGAAAAGTCAATCACTGTTACCAATAGCAGTCCTTTTCAGGATAACTTTTAATGTTTCTTCCGCTCCCAAACTATATCTACTATATGAATTAAAAATCGTATTAAAAATCTTGGCCGTTCAGATAATGCCCCAGCAACTTAATGCCACAGCAACTTAATGCCATCATATTTGACAGTGTATTTCTTTAGACATAAATTAAGACCCAAGGATTCCGATTAATGCCTATTTACATGAAACAAGTGTTATGACTGCTCGCAAATAAGATTTAAAATGTTGCAAAACGCAGTCAATCAAATACTATATGGTAAGTTTCCTCGCCTGGTTTATGAAAATTAACATTTCACTTTGACATGTTTCTCAAAAGATTGTCGTTAGATTAACAGGATTCTTTCACAGAAAACCTACCGTGAAATTACTGTCGAGAGGGTCTTTAAAATGGAGACAGTTGGTCAGCCTCAAACGTTAGACATTCATATCTTAAATTTTTTAGATCTTTTTGGCAGCACTTTCTTTTTCTCGTAATTATTCATCAGTTGAAGTTCGGCCTTTGAACATCCTAATATATAAAGATACAAAATACTGAAATGCTATATCAATACAATCACAAAAAGGTAAAATATTGTGATGCTATTACAACGTTTCCCTTTTTGGTTTTGTCGTCGGAATTACGTGAGCTTTTGGGGGCATCCTAATACCAAAGAAGAGCATAACTGTGATCCACGCAAAGATATTCATAATGAAAGGCAGAATAGAATACATACATAAATTTTCACATCCTAATGACTCTGGAATTGATGGATCAGAAGTCAATTGTCATTGAAATTTCCCACAACAGTGTTCGGCAATGATTTTGAACCTCAAGTATTTAATTCCTCCTCACTCACGGGTGAGCTTCCGGCGCTTTCTATTGTAAGAATATCATACTGACATCTCTTGAAAGACGTTTTGGCGGGTTGGTGGCCAATGGTGCATATCGTCTATTCGGTGTCTCTTAGGTTTCTTGAGACTCCTAGTATTAATCAGGTGGTTTTCGACGCGATATGAAGGTTTTTCGGGCGCTTTTTCGTTGGGTTTTGTTTCTTGTCTTGGCTTCACAATGCTTCAACCCAAGAACAGCCTTCGCTCAAGGTGGGTTATGGTAAAGAGTAGTTGTTTAATGTTGTTTGAAGATACTGGCTGCGTGTTAACATGCCACGCGTGGTATTTAACTTGTGTAGGGCCGACTTTAGTACCAGCATTTTGACTGATCTAGATAGCAAGATGACTTTCCAAATTAACATGTGTATTTTAAAACAGAGTACAGGTCTCCTTGATAAGAGATGCCTTCAGAGTCTTGAGAAAAGTTAAACTTCATTGTTTAAAACAAACTTTTAAACAATTTGACCTTGGATCATGAACTCTTGAAATCTGTAACTCTCAATGGCTCTTGTAATATTACTTTTATGATTTTGCTTCAAGCAAAAAGCAATTACACTCATGTTTTCGTGCAGTTTAATGATTTGCGTGCCCTGTTTATCTCCAAACTCGAGGAGCATATTTCAGTTTTTCATAATTGTAGTTATGCAAATCAAAGTTGTAATTCCTACGACCGCGATATTTCTCAGTTTAGCATATTCTACATTATTAAGTTGCGGTCAGGGCCGCTTCATAAATCACATTCATTGCACATTTTGATTTGCATATTGTCTGTCACTCATAGTTAACAAAAAAAAAAAAAGAAAAATCTCACACAAGGAATCAAAAGCAAGCGTTACATCACAGAGTAAACATGTCCTCGAGCGTGACAGCTCCCACGAATTTTAGTCACACTAATCTTATCAGGACAAATGTGACAAAATTGACAGACAAATTGGTTTACGACCATATTAGGGTAACAAACGTTTGATAGAATAAAGTTCAGCTGAGATTGTGCTGTATGAAAAAGAAGCGCTCTGATTATAAAATGATAAACATTGAGTTAGATCAAGCTTTAACACAAATACTCTGTGTTAACACCTACGAGTAGTTATTTTGTCTCTGGTTTCAAGGTAAATAAGTTCAGTTCCTTAACCTACCTGTAAGAGGCGGTTTAGAGTGTAATAAAAGTCGTTATAAAATAAGCAAACATGTTAAACAATCAATTATTTAGTCTTGGGAAGTGGTCATTATTTTTGCCGGGGGAGGAGGCCCCGGAGGAGGATTGTTAGGGGTTTACACACTTTTCAGGGGGAACGGAGGGAGGGTTAGTCGTCGAAAACTAACTGACTGCCAATTGAATGCCAATATGGGGGGTCATAAAATATTAAAGAGCCTAATAACCGGCCTCTTATAAGCTCATTGAACCTTTTTTTCTAACAGAAAAGCTATGCAAAGATGTATTGACGGATTGTGAATACTTCTTCAATGTGGACGAATGCAACAGATACAGCGACCTTGCACGAAAATATTGTTCCGAGACATGTGACCTCTGTGAGTTGACAGACCAAAGCGTATCCCATAACCACGAAATAACGCCCAAAATGAAGTATTCTAGTCTGTACCCGCTATGTTTAAGCCATTTCAAACGCCTATGTTTTTTCTTTCTCAAGTGCTATTTTAAGTCAACTGGTTAGGGCTCGGGGTTACTATCAGCTATGAGACGCTCCGTGTTCTCCGTCAAACGATGATAATGAATTGGTGACTGCATTATACGGCAAAATCATCACTGCTGTGGGAATAGTTGAGTCAAGTGACTTATGAGAATTCCATAGGCAAAGTCGCAGCTGATATTACTCTTTATGCTGTGTCTCCGTGGACATCTTCAACAAAAATTCCTGCGTAAGAGAAATCGTTTGCACGCATAACAATCTTTTCCTTTCGAGAGCATTTAATTTCCCCAATGTGAAATGCCTTATATAACCGCAACTGACTAGAAGCTAGAATCGCGTCCCTTTTTCTCGTAGAATCTATCATGGAAACGTTTTGCACAAAGATGTAATCACTAGGCCCAACTTTCATTCATAAATAAAAGCATCAGATTTCAATACATAATGTGTTTAATTAGCCTTTCTTTCTTCTTTCTTTCCTGAAAAATTTCCAGGTCCTACACTCAGTCCTACATTACTCCCAGGTTAGTCAATGCAAGGAAATATTCAATGAAGTCCCAGTTAAGGTGAAATACATTTTTTTTTTTTTGTTAACGCTTGGCGAGAATGTTTCAGTCCTTAAAAATCACGAAGGAGATTCAAGCTTAAACCTGATGAGAGCCGTCTAACGGAAAAGTGAGAGCGCCAGTAAAAAATAAAACTAACAAGGTTGATGCTGTCAAACCCCAAAACTATTTGTAGCCTGATATACTTCACCGCTTCCCATTCAAAGCTTTTGTCCTCAGCTTCACAATCATATATCTTTGTTAAGCGGTTTCAACTATTCACCTGTCTCTTTTGTCATTCTTTTGTGATCAGCATGTAGAGATATGTTGCCAGACTGTGCAGAATACATAAAGAATCCATCCCAGTGTCATGGAGCGAGAGAATTCTTTACAAAGTACTGCCCACGAACTTGTGGCTACTGTGGTAACAATTCTTGCATTTAATTATTTTCGCTCATGTTGGTTAGTTAAAGTTTTTTTTTTTTGTTGAGTTACTTACCATCTTTGATATGACTATACCAGGCCAGTTTCATTAACTTGATACGAAAAAGAGTATCCCCCCCCCTCCCCCCTCGTTGGGGTCTTGATCCAACGCAGTATCAACTCCCAGGATTTACCAAGTTTCCGTAAAAGATAACCGTTACCCATCTATACTCCTGGGTGAAGCGATGATGGCTCCGTGAGATTCAAGTGTTCAGTCTAAAACACAACACAGTTATTCGACCAGAGCACGTACCCAGTATATACCCAGATAGGTATGCATTGGCTACTAGTTTCTTTGATTAGCGCTTTTGCTTGTATTAGTTCTGCTTCGATGTAGTTGTCTTCTCTTCAAAAAAATGATTTGAAGATATATTCAAGATAATCAATTAAACTTTTCTATGTGTCTTCCTATCCTGTCAGAATGTAACGATATTCTTGATGATTGCTCCTCCTACGTCACTGATCCAAATCAATGTGAATCGTCTCCATTTTTCTCCAAGTATTGTAGAAAGACTTGCAAAATCTGTGGTACGTTTTTTAACATATTATCTTCCATTAAAATTCATCTTCTTTCCTAAAATGTTCTTGATATCTTTTTCCATACCTTATACTGAAACATATGTCATGTAGCCTAACTACACTATGATAAACATGGATAAAGGTCTACAAACCGCAGTCTTAATTGCTTAAAAAGCCTTTACTTATCTCTTAAAAGGTCAATTTTTGCCCAAAAAAGTTTTATTTCTCTGACAGATGTTTGAGTTTTTGCCTGAGATATGCTTTGTTTATTTTTATACCTTCTTTTCATTTCAATCAGACAGACCAAAGATAAAAACAATACAAACGTTTGACTAATGTTTGAGAAAATGATCAAGTTCCTCATCGGCAAAGAATAAACTTGGTGTTTTCTTCTTTCGGCGAACATCAGTCAGTTAGTGGATCAGAACGACTTTAATTGCTTTAATTAGTAATTCTTTGGTAAGTTAAGATATCTGAGAGATAAATAGAGCGTTTTTTTCTTTTCCTACAGAGAGCTGGAATTTCACAACTCCTACAACAAATCAACCTGTTACATCAGCTGTCACAGCTCCATCGACAACGACATCCTCCAGAGAATCCACATCAACTGAGTCTGCGAACACATCGACACTCACACCTACTGTCACAACACAAACAACTACAGTACCCATACCACCAGGGTCGATAGGTAATGGATATATCCTGAATATTAAATGATAAGCCAAGTGCTGGTTTGGATATAACCCATCAATTAGCGTTGCGTTCATTTAAGTCCTCTTTATAAATAGGTGACACTGCAGGGTGAATATACTAGAAGTATGTACTGTTCCTAGAAGCCTAATTGGTTGACCTTGTTTCGAGCCAAATTTCATGCAGTACTTATAACAATAGGAGAAAAAGCAAAATTATATGCTTTTGGCAATTCTTGACCTTCAGGCGTTTGTTTGTTTGTTTGTTTTTTTTTTTGCAACTTCTGATCATGTGTTGCTGAATTTCAGAAATACGCTTAGAACAAGAACTTCTTCCGGAAAAGTTTTAGTCTCAAGCTCATTAAGTTGAGATAGACTCCATCTATTCATACATTTGTTCGTTCAATTTTTTAGTCATTTCATTCAGACAGTTTTGCGGATTCCTTCCCAAATTGTCTCAGTATATACTGTTTTGGGGAACCTTGTGTCGCAGGAAGGGAACCATTGTGTTAGGTATACCTTATCTTTTTTGTCTCATTTCATAGGTTGTGTAGACTCCCCAGACTGTACCTCAATGATTGAAAACGACAGAGAGCTGTGTAAAAAGCGTGAGGAGTTTATGAAGGAGTACTGCCCGGAGTCGTGTGGTTTCTGCGGTAAGATTAGTTAATAATAATAATAATAATAATAATAATAGTAATAATAATAATATTCTATTATTATTATAGAAAATAATCCTTTATTCACCATAATCAGGAAAGTTTCTAACAATAATTTTGATATAATAATAATAATAATAATAATAATAATCACTGATCGTCACTGATTAACTCTTTCATAGCCGAAATAAGTAATAGGTTTTTAAAGATTTTATAATGACTCTTTTAGATTCGGATAGCCAAAATGCCTATTTTTTTTATTTCTCGAGGGTTTTTTTTTTTTCACTACAGTTAACGGGCTACGCTCATGCGCCCCGTCACACGATTCTTACTCTATGTAGCATACAAAAGTTTTAAACTGCTGCATAAAATAATAATAATAATAATAATAATAATTTTTTATGATAGACCTTTATTCACTTTAATCACTAAAAATATTTACAGAAATTATGATAAAATGCTTAAAAATCGAAAAATGCATTAAAATGTCTAACAAAATTTTGAGAAAAGCTAGTGGATACACACTTTAAAAAGAAAATGGTGTTTCTCTGTCATATTTTATTCTCTCTAATCATCAAAAATATTTACATACAAATTAAGATAAAATCCTTAAAAGTCGAAACATACATGAAAATGTTGACTGACAAAAGATATAAAAAAAAAAACTAACTGGTGCACGTTTCGTTTACTTGTTGAACTTAAAGGAAGGAGAGGAAAAAAAAGAAATTAATAATAGTACTAAAAGTGGGGAAAATTAAAATATTTAATAGTGATTAGATCATGCCATTTGTTAGGATCTATTAATGAGATCCTAACAAATGGCAGCCTCTGAACTTTGAATATCTACGTCTACATTAGTAAAATCAAATTTGGGCCTTCTAATTGTTCTGGATCCCCTTAAGCAGATTAGGGCCAATCTTAATAATGCAGACGAAGCTTTTGCCCTGATCCAGGAAATTGTCTTTGAATAGTGTTCTCCTTTCTTGTCTGCAATGAGTTCTGCAAGGCGACTGTGATATCTCAAACATTCTTGGCCCATTCCACCAATCGAAGTAAACACAAGAGGCGTAAGTGAACCATGTTCGATGTGTAGAACACGTCATGAGTAGAAACGTTTCTTCTCATTCTCATGCATGCGGTAAATCTGCTGCGGTTCCAGATTTCTGTACGATTCAGCCGTGACAAACTCGAATATCGAAACATGCAGATTGATTGTGTTCCCAGAAAGCAAGAGCATGAATGTCTAGCCTTGCATCTTGCGCCATGTTGGAACCCCTGTTTAATTGCCTTCCTGTCGTGTATTGGAGTTGAGGTTCGATTTCCACATCTTTGCAGACAATTCCTAAAAGCTCAGCTTCTAAGTCTCTAAGTTCGTTTTGGCGCTGTATAATAAAGCCACCCTTTTTGCAGACCATCGTATGGTCGACTGTGAACACGTCCCCGCAAGGACATTTGGAAGGAGTATCTTCGAATTGCCAGTCGTATCGTATTTAATAGCAAATCGGAATTCTCTTTTGTTGAGATTATATCCTTGCTCTCGTAATGGAAGGACGATTAACCATACCGATAAACCCTTTTCAGTAGCCAGATCTAGTGCTCGCTTGGTCCTAAGCGGTGCCCTCTCATAAACACTCTTCACTCTTTCTTTGACGTTTCCGTCCCTCTTATGCTGGGAAGTCTGTTTTAATGACTTTACTGCCGAGCCTTCTGGTAAGTGATGTTGTTGGGCTTTAATTTGTTAGACGAGCGGTGCAGTTGTTTCAACGGATGACTTGAACTCCCGCGGTGCTTCTATCAGCGGATTTCCAAGGCCAAGGCCACCAAAGCGAGGGGGTAAGGACAACACGTCTCTGTCCAGTTGATTACACTTGCGCCCAGTTATGGCAGGTATGAGGACATGTCTTTTAGCACTTTCCAGAGGTTCTGTGAGATCCTGGGCGTCAGGAGGAATAGTCCGAAGAAAATAAGTCCAATTGTGTTTAAGGCCGATAATAATAATAATAACTATAATAATAATAGTAATAATAACGATAATAATAATAACAATAACAATAGTAACCTTTATTGAATCTAACATGAAAGTGTATAAAAAATAAAAAAAAAATCTGGCAAGTTACAATTCTCCTTTTAAGGAAAAATATCACTAACCTAAACTACATAATTACATGGCTATGAATAATAAAATTATAATGTGCTGTTAGTAGTCTATATCTTACTTTAAGTATTTTGACAAAGGAAATGCAAAGTCTTCAAAAGTTCAACGCAAAAGAATAATAATAAAAATTTACTATAATGAAAATAATCTATAACTGATGAGTTTAAGGAAGTCTTGCTCGACCCTTCTCTACTTCCAGACTCCTGTCTTTAATGCCCAAGTTCCTCCTTCTCGGTGTTCTAGATCCCCTTAGACAAGAGCGCGCTCCGCAAAATTGCAAAGGACACTTTCGCTCTGACCCATGAAATTGTTGTGGTGTAGCTCTCTTGCTTTTTTGCAGAAAATTGCTCGGCTAATCTTGAGTGGTACCTCAGGCATTCGTCAGCCATCTTCCCCGTCGTTGTAAATACCAGTGTGGTGAAAGTGCCTTGCTCTACTTCTGTTACACGGCAGTTGTATTTGCGCTTCTTTTTATTTTCATGAATCCTGTAAATCTGCTTGGGGCTAAAATCTCTGTATGAGTCTGCATTTGGATGACACACCCTTATATCGAAAAAAGCAGGAAAATGGTAGAATTGACTAGATTATTAGGATATTTCAAACGAGAAAATACTGATTTAAGTCGATCGCATTCTTCAGAGAAATAACGCCAATTAGATTATTAGTCGAAATGCACGATCAAGCATAGTTTTTAATAACCCACTTTTGTAACGATCATCTACATGGCTCTTGTAATGTAGTAAAAGGCCCGTATTTGTAGGTTTGACGTACACCTTGGTCTCAACATGTGTACGTTTGTTGAGCAGCTGGGTGCCCAAAAAAGGGAGCATGCTGTTACTCTCTGTCTCCATGGTAAACTTAATAGAGGAATGGCACTGGTTTAAAATGTCGAGGAAATTGTCTGCTGATGCTTTGTTCGGCAGAATGGTCAATGTGTCATCAACAAATCTCTTGTAGTACGTGGGCATCAGTATTTTCTCGTTTGAAATATCCTGATAATCTATTCAAATCTACCATTTCACGGTTTGTTGCTGCCAAAGTATCTGATCAACCAGTTTCCTTACCAGCTGTCAGCGATCGATCGGACCCCATTCGCGTTGTCCTACCGTATAAAGATCAGGCATCCGCTGATATTGTTCGTGCCCAACTTAAAGATCTAAGTCATAGGATCCAGACGACCTTACAACCTGTATTTGTTAGCCAGAAGATTGGTCGAGACCTCAAATTGCGAGAAGCTAAGCCGCCGATTGTGAACCAACAGTGCCTTGTTTACAAATTTCAATGTGACCTGTGCGATGCAGGTTATGTTGGTTTCACACGCCGTCAGGTGCACCTGACGAGAGAGGACTTTTAACCCTTTCGAAACAGATCTGTAGTGCGAAGTTTTAATTTTTATTTTCCTAAATAATTGTTTACAAAGCTCCATGATTGTAGAGCACTTTCCGATTCAAGAATAAGGTTTTTTACGTTTTTACATATTGTATGTATATACATGTTGAGCAGAAAAATACGACTACGTTTATACCTCTACAAGCCTGTTTCGTGATTGCTCACTCATCAGGGGATTTTATTCAATAATAAAATACCCTGATGATGCAGGGATAAAAACGTAGTCGTCGTATTTTTCTACTCAACATATATTGCGTTCTAATTTTTATTTATCGAGCACTGTAATACGGAAAAATCGAAACACAGACTTCCTATACATATATCTATTTATATACATATGTAGATATATGTATATACACTTTGAGAAATAACTGAACCAACAGTTGGACATGGTTATTAACAGTAATCTTCAGTCTGAGGTCTGAGGTAAGGATAATTCAATATACAGCTTACAGATTTTTATCATCATGCAGGATACACCAGGTAGCAGATGAGTTCCAAGAAGTCCTCTGTCTTCCTTGTGAAAGCCTTACATGCGCGTTTACAAGAGGTGTATTCCACTGCAAGTATCAATTATTTAATGGATTAAGTGCAGTTTTGAACTCACATTTAACACGTTTATTTTAGATGACGATTCCTACTGTGAAGATGAAATGCCAGAGGAATGTTCCTTTCTTTTTGAAAGAGACGAAGCGTATTGCAAATTCGAACCAGAGTACATGGAGAAAAACTGTGCTAAGACTTGTGGATTATGTGGTAAGTATGGCAAACAAACTAGTGCGCGTAAAAGCATTCGAAGGCACAAGCGTCTCAGCGATATCGTGTTCGGGCCCAAACCCGCAGGGTACGAATCATGAGAGCCCCGGATCGAGACACTGGGCATGTGACTTAGTTACTCCTCCCCAGCATAGTTAAGTTATTGAAATATTATGGGTTGTTTTGTTCATAAGCATGCTCAATCTATTACGTCGAAGATTTGTTTTGTAGTCCAGCGAGTTGATCAGAAGAAGCATAGCAGATACGTGTTGAATTTAACACACTGAGTTCACATTATGATGTTGAATCTTTCAAATATTCCACTGCTGTTTTTTCTGCACTTATTCGTTAACTATAGCTGAGAGAAAAGGATTGTGGATAGCACTCAAGAAGTGGACAGAAATACACGATTACGTCTCGTGTTTCTCCCTATACACTTCTTTCGTTGCTTAGCTGCTTCCTGCGTGCTTTACAACAGAACAGAGCACAGTCAAGGCTTCTTTATTTGTTAATTTAACCACATCCATTTGGTTTGTTAGATTGTCGCGATATTTTACCGGTGTGCGCCTCTATTGTTGCAAACAATGGAGGTTACTGCGAAGCTAATCCTGTGTTCATGAAAACAAACTGCCCCAGATCCTGTAACTTGTGTAAAGGTAAGATACACTTATCCTGATATGTCCACAGCAAACTACGTAGTTTGACGGTTGGGTATTCTTTAGGGTTTTCCAGGACGGTTTTTCGTTTAATTTAATCTTGTGAAAAATATCTTTTTTCTAAGTTATGATTGTTTTTAAACTGAGAATTTACTTCGTATCATTATGGCGTTCCTAAGCAAGTTGCACGACATAAATGTAAGGTCCCCTGCAAGTTCTATCTCATCGTCTACAAAGTGTTGCTATATATCTCGCCCAAAGGCCACAGCTAAAAGTTTCACTATACTTCACTACATATTATATAACCGCCTAGCGTTTAGATTTGCCTGGCACACTTTCCCGAAGGCGTGAATACGCAAGTATTATATGTTCCTTTGCAAATTTTGTCACAGTGTGCAAACAATTAATCCTGATGTAACAAGGTCAAATGAGTAGTGTTGCCAACTTTCTTCAGTTTCAGGTAGTAATGGTAATGTCAGGTCACCAAGCCCAGTTGGTAAGAAAATTCATTTAATGAATTTCATTTTTTTAGCTGGTTAACTGGTGTCCTTCCTCACAAATCCATCGTGGAAAGCAATTACGTTTAGTTGAACCGAAGCTCCGGTCCTATAAAGCTTTTTTTCTAGTTAGGTATTTTCTATATACTTTAACTTTTTACAGACTTTGATAAATTGAAATGTCTTAGTACTTTATGAGATGCGTATTTGAGAATATCAACATGTTAAAATTGAGCACAACAGGTATTAAATTATATTATATATACAAGGCTAAAAAGATTAAGAAAAATTATTAAAATGTTAAAACCAAACGTTTTCGGCTGTTTGCCATCATCAGGGTTGAAAGTGTTTCACCGTCTGTACATGCCTATATATCTTATGTGATTCCCGATGGAAAAAGTTTGGAGACATAAGTATTGACTTGTTTGTTAAAACTGGGGCGGAATTGTTGGATCATTAGCCCCTCGACGATCCTGCGCTTGTGAAATATTTCTGCTGAGGAGAGAGCACGCCAAGTGAAAGAATGTGATGGATTTTCCCGCAAGTGTTTTGCAGGTTCAGAGGTGTGAGTAGGATTTGAATGCTCCGCGATATGCACTGCTAGATTTCTCACAGTTTCGCCAATGTAATCAACGCCACAACCACAATCTCCTTTGTAAACAACTTTGGATCTGTGAGTGTTCTTGTCTTTGTTGTTAAATAGGCTTTTAATTTGCCTTGTTTGCCACAGGATTACAAAGATGAAATTAGAATTGGTGAACTCGTTGAGTCTTTTAACACATGTCTTACCGAGTTTTACCGCAAAAAGGAATCTTGATAAAGACTTCCTTTCGTTCTTCGAAGAGAAAATTCGAAATGATGTTGTCATCTGGTGATGGGTCGTTTAGAAAGTTGTTGATTGTATGCGAAATAAAACGTTTGGGATAACCTGCATTGATAAGAGATTTTTCAAGAGTTTTTATGTCCTTGTCAAGATCGGTAGAGAGGCTTTTGGCTCTATGGAGTGCGCCAGTGATGCAATTCCTTTTCCATTTAGTAGGGACCTCAGATTTCCAATGTGTTGGTAGTTTTCCCGGTTTCTTGAAAACGCTGCAATTGAACTTGTTGTTATATCTAAAGAAGTATCGAGGAAGTGGTCAGGGTTTTTCTCGGCAGTGAAAACAATGTAGGGTGATAGTGATTTAGCCGTTCAAATAGTGCATCAGGAATCACATAAGATATATAGGTATGTACAGACGGTAAACACTTTTAACCCTGATGATGGCAAACAGCCGAAAACGTTTCGTTTTAAAATTTTAATAATTTTTCTTAATCTTTTTAGCCTTGTATATATATAATATCTTTCAT